TTTTTTTTCATAAATTCCCAGAATTACTTACTGATGGGATGTGGTGCCTTTGGGGCAGTCTATACCTACTCAAATCTGAGTATCAGATTGGATAATGCTACCTGTATTTCCTTTTTCACATTGGCTTTTGTGCAGTTCTTGCTTTTAATTACTTGGAATTCCCTGAAAACCTTTCTTAATAAAAACACAAAAGTGGCCTAAAGTACAAGTAAGCAAAAATGTGGCTCAAAATCTTGAGAACATCATTAAATGGAATATAGCATGTTCTAAGGTTAAACTTGTGAACCACCTTGAATTAGTTCTTGCAGTGCCCAACACATATTTAGCAATGTTGTGTTTCCTTCAAATGTTTATAATATTCCAACTTTGTGAGTTCACTGCAGCACCCTGGGGCACCCGTACACAGAGTTTGTGAATGTGGGGCTAGAGAGAGCCTAGAGGTATTGAAACTACACAGAAACTTGAATGACATTAGGGATCCCTGGACCACTGGAGAATCTTCATTAGGGAAGTGCAGCAACATATGTAATAGTTGATTAAACTTTCCCCATCAAAAAGACTAAAGTCAGAGAGATCAATTCAGATGCTTTATGAGAACCTACTTGGTGTGATATGGCATTGGAATGGAAAGTTAGACTAGAAATATTTCAAGAGAATAGATTGAAGGACTAATCTGATATAAATGATAGAGTTTAAAAAATCAGATGCATTTATGAGTTTTCTGATTTAAAAATAGAGAAAGTATTTGGCTTGACCCAATCATGGGTGTTAAGAAAATGAGTAAGTTTGACTCCTGGAAAGACCTAGATAATGAGATTAATTTAGGGTATGTTAAGTGTTTGATGATATTATTGGAAAGTAATTCAATATAGGACTGTTATGGACTAGACTGCATTCCCTCAAAAGTCATATGTTGAAGTGTTAATCTTCAGTACCTCCGAACATGACTCTGTTTGGGGACAGGATCTTTCAAGAGTTCATTAAGTTAAAATAAAGTCATTAGAGTGGGCCCTGATCCAATATGACTGGTGTTCTTATAACAAGACAAAATTAGAGCACGGACACTCAGAGAGAAGACCCTGTGCAGACACAGAGAAAAGACAGCCATCCATGAACTAAGGTGGGAGGCCTCAAAAGAAACCAACTCTGTTGACACCTTGATCTTGGACTTCTAGCTTCTAGTACTGTGAGAAAATACATTTCTGTTTTTTAAGTTACTTCATCTCTGGTATTTTTGTATAGAGGCCAGAGAAAATTAACAGAGAAACACAGGACAGGCCAGAAGATATAGATTGATGGACCTGGTATAAACGTAGCAGTTTAATCTACTGAGCAGTTTAATCAATCTATGAGAATGGAATCCATATGGAATGATAATCAAAAGAGAATGAGAAAGGTCTTAGAGATATCACTGACTGAGTGGAGAATAAGAAAAAAAAAGTGTCTATCAGTGAGACAGAGGTGTGACCAGGACAGGGGAAGGAGTACTAGGAAAATTCAGTGTAATGAAACACAAAGGATTCAAGAATTATAAGAACCATGTATCACATAAAAACTGAGAATAAAACTCAGTCTAATGGCCATTAGTGGTTGGCACACAGAATATATAAGTGACTTTTAAAGACACACTTCTAATGGAGTACCAAAGGTAGTCAACAGGATGCAGAAGATAAAATTAGGAAACATGGATGTATGGGAATAAAGAAACTGATGTCCCAGTTTTCACTGATAGTGAAACTAATGAATAACCATAGATAAGAGCTAGAGGTGCCCATAAAGATTGGCAGCCCTGAGCACACTGGGTTTGAAGGAGAGAGTAAAAGTTGGGAGACTGAAGGGATTCCAGCAGAGCAGAGAAGCACAGGCAAAGAGGCACCAAGCAAAGGCAGCACCTGGAACCTGGAGGAATGGACAGATGAGAAGAGGCAGAGAATTCTTCATCTAAAGCAATGGGAAAGGACAACGTATACTCAGAATATTCTCAAGCTTTTTCCCCGAATAACAGCCTCTTTCATAAAAGAAAGTGTTGTCTTGTAACTGACTCATTGCAAAGTCTCTTATACAATGGTACGTACTCTTTGGGGAAGACACATTAGCTGGAAACACCAGGAAAAGCTTGATTTTACAGCTTATAGAAAGATTATGGAGTTGAAGGAAAAACCGATGGAAAGAAATTAAAAAAAAATAAGTTAATGTTCCTAAAAGTACAACCTCTAAATTGCAGAATGACATCTTAAACAATCCTTTTAAGAATTACTTGAGTGCCTGGGCATGGCAGCTCACACCCGTAATCCCAGCACTTTGGAAGGTGTAGGCGAGTCGATTGCTTGAGGTTAGGAATTTGAGACCAGCCTGGACAACATGGTGAAACCCCATCTCTACAGAAAATTTGCCATGCATGGTGGCACACACCTCTAGTCCCAGATACTCGGGAAGCTGAGGCATGAGAACTGCTTGTGCCCGGGAGGTGGAGGTTGAAGTGACTCCATTCTAGCCTGAATAACAGAACAATACTCTCTCAAAAAATAAAGAAAGAAAGAATTAAGTACTTGACTAACTGGGTATATAAATGTGATCACAAACATATGCCTTTAGGGCAAATGAAAAATAAATTGATTCTGATATTGTGTCAATGGGTGCTTGCAGGCTTGGGAAAAAAAATATCTAGTAACAGTATCCTGCATATTTTTTTAAATGGTCTGTGTTTCACACAACTTAAATGGAAGTAAAACAGTCACGCATGACAATTTTCAGGTGATTCAAAATATGTTGTAATAATGGCAAATATGAATATCAGAGATATACAAAATAGTTTAGAAAAAACCATTTTATAGTTCATATTTTATATTATCACCGACCTGCATAAGGTGCCCCTATTTTCCTACCTCTAATTCCTCTCTCATAGTATTTTATTTTACATCAGGAATCCCCACCGCCTGGGCCATATAGGTCTGTGGCCTGTTAATAATTGGGCCGCACAGCAGGAGGTGAGCATCAGGGAAGTGAGCATTACTGCCTGAGCTCCACCTCCTGTCAGATCAACGACGGTATTAGACTCTCACAGGAGTATGAGCCTTATTGTGAACTGCATATGCGAGGGATCTAGGTTGCGTGCTCTGTATGAGAATCTAATGCTTGATGATCTGATATGGAACAGTTTTATTCCAAAACCCCTCTTCTTCATCCATGGGTCTTCTACAAAACCAGTCCTTGATGCCAAAAAGGTTAGGGACTGCTGAAGTTTACATTTTATGTGATTTTATTATAAAACAAATATCATAGGTGATCTTTTTCTGCTTCATCTATAGTCTTAACGGCTTTGACATTCAAATTACACACTTTGACTCTTTATTGATAAAGCGGAAAATTATCCTTAATTCAAAATGTGTTTTACTTGAAGTATATATGGTGATATCATATATTAAGTTGATACTTTTCTTTCCTTTTTAGAGAAGCCATATTCACATGTAATCCAAATATTTAAATAATCAAAATAGATTTGGAAGCTCAAAATTCTGTAACATTTTAGGCCCATGTCCCAGTGTTCTTCCCAAACCTCCTTCCAAATATTTTTACTAATTTAGAAAATTCTAAATCGTTCAGTCCTTTTCGAAATATATAAAATATTTTTTTCATCTGCCTTTCTAGAATCCTCTTATTGAGAAAATATGTAGTTGATTTGAAGAAGCATGTTATATGCAATTTTGAATGTTTATCTTAGTAGAACCCAAAATCTTCTACATAGGTTCACCCCTCATTACTCACAGTAATGCCAAGTGCTGTAGTCTAGGTAGATATTTATCATTTTATATGTGAAATGGCATTAGAATAAGGCCATTTCTCAGTGGATTAGAGGAATAAGAGTTTTCTGAATTTAAGTTCCTTATAGAGCCCCACGTAACGAGCTCTTAGAAGACATTGCAGAGCTGCAATTTAAAATCCTGTTTAATCAGCCGTAGCAAGCTATGTGCCATTCTCTCTGGAACAATTCGGAGGAATCAGGGTTCCTCCTCTTCTATCCAGTGCACTCTCAGCCAGGAACTGCTTTCCGGTCAGGTCTGCCATGAAAGGCCATAGAAAGCCAACCCTGTGAAGTCAGGTCTCCGTGTGTCAGCACAGAGCCAACAGCAGAATATAGATCATCAGCTTTGTTTTATGAATGTCTCTTTTTACAGTGCTGGAGTGGAATTTTAAAAAAAGGATTGCAGCATTTGCATTGAATCTGTCACTCACAACTTCAATTTTGATTCCTGTCCTATAAATGACCTTGCTTTCCCATATTTTTCTTAATTTCTACAAGGTGACTGTCAGTGTCAAAAAATGTAAACCTCAAGTGTACATTGCATGGGGCTTGGCAAGTGTGTTAGAAGGAAAGAAGTTTGCTTAATAAAAGGAGATAATATTTATTCGAACTAAGCCTATTAAATCGCGCAGAGGAAAGTATACCTTCTTTGGCTGTTTTGATTGAATTTTAATATAAAATAAAATTTGCTGCTAACTTTTGTTTTTCCTTGACCAATAACGTTTCTCAGCTAAGCATGTGGGCTATGTAAAGTGCCTGTCAAATGGAGGGATGTCTTTGTTGAAAGAATTCAGACTCACAGAAAGTGAGTGACCCTCAGGAATGGGTAGAAATCTCCCAATTTTGACAAAGATCTTTCTCTGTTTGGGATTTGTAAAGCTCAGAGTATAGACGAGGAAGATGACAGGAGGGTCCATGTTTGACTTCATGGAACTTAACCTATTTCAGCAAGCCTGCAATACTGGGAGAAAATAAGACGTAAATTTATGTTTATGTCAGGCTTGCCGTTGATGGGTAAGGTTCGCAGAAATGTTACTCCTGAAGCAATGTCTATCATTCCCACTTCGTACTCCAGTGATTTCTGCTTCTTGCAAATACTGCCCTCTAGAACAAGAAAATTATTATACAACAATAGGTAAAATATGATTGGGTGGCCCACCTCCTGTCCTGCAATGATTATTCATCTTCTGTCTTGTAGCTCCCATCAGTAGGAGGACAGTTGACATTTACCATATCATACGACCTTGAAGAAGAGGAAGAAGATACAGAACGTGTTCTCCAGCTTATGATCATCTTAGAGGTAGAGTACTGAAATCATCATTTATGTCCAACCATATTACTTCCTTATGTTACTTGAGGTTACCAGTACTGTGTTTTTTACCAGCCTGCGTTGACATTGACTTACATAACTACTTAAAAAAATATATACCTTAGGAGTTTTTTATGCCACTCGTATGTTTTACTCTGAGACATATCTAGAAGATTGAGTATATTTGTTGGGTTTGAATGATAAAGGAGAACTTTAGACCAGACTTGAAATTTAAATTTCAAACATAATGACCATGTTTCCAAGAATATAAATATTATGAAAGTGTTTAGGTGCATGATAATTTACATAATTGTATTTTGTCCATTTCCCCTGGCTTTCAGGTAGATTTTATTGTCTACTTCCTTGCATATATTAGATAAAACAAAATGAAACAGGAAATTTGTTTATTTAGTTACAGTTAAATCTTGACTTCAAAATCCTGTTTTAGGTAAGAAACATACAGGAGAAACTGCTTTCAAGATTTGAAGGGCAATAGGCCTCGAAGTCTGCAGCTACCTTAAAGGCCCTCGACCACCCTTTCTTATCATATCTATTCTTTCCAATAATGTATCCCCTCCCCTCAACACTCATACATATTCAGAGACACACACATGCATGCATGTTTATGATTCCAAATGGGTAGATGTTAATTTAGCACCAGGCTCTGTTGTTTTCTGTCTTGAAACTTTCATGCATGTGAATCAATGACAAAATAAAATATTCCTTTCTCAAAATGGACATTTTCCAGTATTGGATGAAGTCATCTGCGCTCTCTCTCTCTCTCTCTCTCTCTCTCTCTCTCTCTCTCTCTATATATATATATATATATATATATATATACATGGTAACTAGATCTATACTCTGGAATGCCTTTAAGATGAAAGGAGTTCTCCAAATGTAAAGTGTTGAGATAAATTATGTAGTATTTGTCTTAGTTATTCATGGGAATGAACTAAGACAAGAAAGATTACCTAAATGTCATAGGTCGTTCAATATACTCCTTAGATGCCATTATCCTATTTTGAGAATTAGACTGAAGTCTTTTTTATTGTTTGTTTTCCCCATGTAGAATGTTCCTTTAAAATAATAGCTTAATTCAGTTTTAAGTTTCTTTCCCTGTTGTTCTGCACAATTCACATCCTTCATAAAATAATATATTTGAAATATGTAACATTCGGGCACTTGCGTCAATTCAAGGTGTTGTAATCACATATAGAGTTGCCAGGTAACCATTATTTTAGTGAATGGGGAAGTAAGGTCATGCAAAACCAAGAAGCATGTGCTTCCCAGTGCATGTGTCTAAGGCTAATATTAAAATTGTGTTGCCTTCCCTTCATGTATACCAGAAATATATTCCCTGAATGACAGGGAAAGCCAACCTTAAATTAAAAGTCTATTGAGGCTGGACACAGTGGCTCAAACCTGTAATCCCAGCACTCTGGGAAGCCAAGCCAGGTGGATCACTGGATGTCAGGACTTTGACACCAGCTTGGCCAGCATAGACAAACCCCCGTCTCTACTAAAAATGCAAAAAATTAGCCGGGCTTGGTGATAGGCGCCTGTAATCCCAGCTACTACTGAGGCTAAGGCATGAGAATCGCTTGAACCTGGAAGACGGAGTCTGCAGTGAACTGAGATGGCGCCATGGCACTCCAACCTGGGGAATAAAGTGAGATTCTGTCTCCAAAACTAATAATAATAACAATAAATAATAAACATAAATTTAAAAATGTAAAAGTCTACTGAGGGTAGAGGATCCAAATATAGATATGTTTGACTCTTCTGTGCCCTCTTCTCTGTTTTACCCTTTTAAGCTTTCTTTTATTTCCCCCCCCCCATTAGGGCAACGACTTGAGAATCAGCACACCCCAAGATGAGGTGTACCTGCAACCATCTGAAGAACATATTAATGTATTGTTACTTAAAGAAGAATCATTTACCATACATGGCACACATTTTCCAGTCAGTAGAAAAGAATTTATGACAGTGCTTGTGAATTTGAAGAGAGTCCTCCTACAAATCACATACAGCTTTGGGATGGATGCCATCTTCAGGTAAAATCTAGAACTGCAGTTCCAATGTTCACACATTGACCTTGGGGCAAAGGTGCAGGAGTCACCCCAGAAGTGAATTTTTTAAGGTTTTGCTGTCTTCAAAGAGCAGATAAAAACGGAGCTCTCATTTTCTGAAAGGTTTTCCTCTTAAACCTTTACAGTTTTAAATAGCAGGAATAAATGTGTCTTGGTTTTTATTATTATTGACAATTCTTTCACAATTCTGTCAGGACAGGTGATCAGAAATGATCCCTATATTGAGAAATGTCATATTGGAAAATAAAGCCTCCTTTATGATGGCTCACAGAGTGAGAAACTAAAAAGATATAAATTCCAGGGCACCCCTATTTGGAAAATGGTTTTTAAAATATTTTCTTCCAATAGTTGTTTACTAGTTTCTGACTTAATAGTAAACAGTTGTAAGAAGAAACGTAAGACTTTTCATTTAAATAACCACCCATCTCACTATAAAACATTTTCAGACTATAACAGACACATAGTATAAAGGAAAGAATATGAACTTTGGAGCAAAACTGAGTAGAAATTCAATGAGCTTTATTGCTTATTGTATGTATGACCTTTGGCAAGTGATTAGGCCTGGAGGAACGTTTCTTTCCATTGTAAAGTGGTATACTAATGCCTACTTTTCAGGGTCTTTGTTAAAATGATACATCATAATTAAGAAAGTACTCATCACCTAGAACACTTTCAGTTCCTTCTTTTTCTCTTTTTTTTTTTTTAAAGAACAAACTCCCTGACTTGAACCAAATATGCTGGTGTCTGACTGTTTGTAGGCTAAGTTTTATTTTTGGTTGTTTTTAAAACAATGACATTTTTATCTGACAGAATTTTAACTTCAACTGTGTCTGAATGAGTTCTTTACCCTTCTTTTCTACTCTAATAATAGTAACACAAGATGTCATAGAAACTCCCTTCTAAATCAGATTAAGTTAGATGTTCAAATGTGACCCCAGTCTGACAACCCAGTATACCTTTAATGAGAGCAATGTCTCCAATATTGGAGTTTTTATTGCTGACACCACCACCTCCCCACCTCCCTGTCCCCCGTCATTTGCCTGTGTTGCCTAGTTTGGCTTTCACTGAATAATATTTCAACTTAGTTTAATCATCATTACCATTTCCCAAAGGAGAGAACTGCAGAATCATAAACAGAACAGTTGCCAAACAATGTACCTCTTTTGCATAGGCAATTCTTTTAGAAGCTGGGTTAAAATGCCATGGAGATGAGAAGCAGCACTTAGGAATTAATTATGTTTTTCCCATTTAGTAAATAGAGATTGTCATGATGTTTAAACAGTACAAAGAGATGAGTCCTCCAGCTTTCAAAATGAATGACAACGAAATTGACAAAAAAAAAGTGGCTAGGGGGCTTATTTATTTTTGTCAGTATTACTTTTCAGGCTAGTTAATACAAAGACACTTTCCCCTGATTTATGTAAGACAGTTTCAGTGTCTACCCATCTTAAAATCACGGGTTTTGTTTGTAGTCTTCTGAGGTTTTGCCATACAGGAGTGCATTCACAGTGTGGCTCTGTGAAATGACACAAGAGCTAATCCAAGTAGGTGGCTACTTTCTGTCATCTATATTACTGAAAGCACTGTGGTTCGATAAGTAAAAGCCAATGACAGATTCAAAACTCCTAACCATTCAGGTGAGCTGAAAGTCGGCATGAATCCGGAGTCAGTCAGTAAGCTTGTTTTATTTTATCTTTGATCTACTAGTAGATTGAGTCATATTTGTAAAACATCACTTGAATTGATTTCAACTTGTCTTGCACAGTAGGCTTCCGACTTGGTACACTGTTTGTGTGCAAGCACAAGTAAATTGAAGTGCAACAAAAATTCATATTTAGACTTATTTACGGTGGATTTACTTTCGCAGCAATTCTTTCAGCAAATGGGTTTCGGTTCCTCCAGTTATATGGTTAGATGGAATTGTAGAATGGAAGGAGAACTAGGCTGCAGGTCAAGGATTTTGACTTTTGTTTTCAACTCAGCTATTTAATAGTTGTAAACATAAGTAAGGCTTTGACCTCTTTGGACTTCAATCACTTCATCTGTAAAACAAGGAGAAGGACAATTGCCCTGCCAACTTCAAAAGGTCACTGCGAGAATTGAATTAGAAAGCTGCAAAAGCACTTGGCTAGTGGTAACCCAGCACACAAATATGAAGCATTTCTGTCTTATTTACTTCATCCCAAAGGATCACATCTTCTCCAAATACCATTAAGATTTAGGAACCTCTAGAGAAAGGCACGTACTGGTATTTCCATACATATGACGGTTCTTACTGTCATTTTTTTTTTCAAAATGCTAAGCCCTATTAGATAAAATTAATGTACTTTTTTTCTCACTGTCCTCACCAGGAATATGAAGGCACAAATAGAAAACTTTTCATTCTTCTTTTAAGAATATAAGAGAAATCAACCTGACTGAACTGCACATCTTTCTCCTTTAAATTCTCCAAACCTTAGATTTAGTAACAACCTTGGTCTTTAAATCAAGCAAGGCTTTTATTAAGTACCTATATGAGATATAGAACTCTGCACAAAGTGTATTTTCCTCTTACTTTACAGTTGACATTAGTAGAGTTCGCCAAATTTTCAATCTCATCCATAGGGGATACTGCTATTCTCTAACCCTGGAGGATAGATGTGTCATATGACCTGGTTTAGCCAATGAAATATAGCAGAAATGATGTATTTTTTTCCCGTGGGATAAACATTGAATTTCCAGTGTGAGACTCTCTCCAGCTTACTCAGCAACCAGAAGATAAAAACAGCCTGGAATACTGATTTGGGATATGGAGGTCAGCTGCCCTAACAGGCACCCAGACCTGTAGACGATTTTACATGAGTCAGCCCTTTTTTTCCTGTTAAGCCACTTAGAATTTGGAGTTGTTATCACAGCACCACCAAGCCCATCATGACTTTATCATGATACCACTCATGAGTGTTGCTTGAAAATAAATACAAAATATTTTCAAGGCAAGATAGTTTTACACAACTTTCAGTGTAAATTTTGGGGTTGGGAATCAAAAAAGATTATATACAATTTATATAATAAATAATCTAGAAACATTATTGTAAACAAAGGAGTTTTTAATAATTATAGAAATAGTATTGCTAGGTACACAGTATACCTCTACCTTCTGAAGTTAATGATTCAGGTAACTACATTTTGAGGACATTTTACTGATAACACTAGTAATGAAAAGGATTTTTGCAGCTCACTTGGAATCCTGCTGTTGGAAAGAGGTGCAACCAGCATTTTAACCTGTGTATCTTTCCCATTATCTTTGACTACCTCCCACTGCTATTCCCTAAGTATTGAGTTCGTTCAGTCTGCAAATATTTACTGAGCACCTTCCATGGTTATGTCTCTAAATCTCAGTTCCTATTCTATCCAATGGCAGAAACAATGTCTAAATTTCAAGGTTGGCAATTAAGCGAAAACACAATGTATGTTAAGCACCTGAAATAGTATCTAGCATACTTTGGGAGGCAATGGAGGGTAACAAGGAGAACTCTGGTTTTGGCGTCATGCTTGGATTTGAATCTATGCTGCACCCTTTGCTAATGGTATTATGTTGGACAAGGCACTTTACTCCTCTGAGCCTCAGATTTTTCATTTGTAAATATGAATAGACATGGGGTTGTTACATTGTTTATTAATACTTACATGAACTGTCTTTCCAGCCTGTATCATAGTACACAGAAGATAGTAGACAGTAAGTAGTAACTATTAAAAAGCAGTCATTCTAGACTAGGCTATAAGGATACAAAGGTGGACCAATAATCGTTGAATTCAAAGAAGGCTTGTACAGCAGAGAAGTCAGATAAACTTATACCTACTGCACACTTATGATAATGTAAATAGTGCAGAAGAAGTATACATAGTGCATACTGGTAGAACTAAGAAGGAAGAGATGAATTCTTGTGTTAGCATTAAATACACTTAATAAATGGCTGTGAAAGTATCAGATTCTCTCAGCTACTGCTTTTACTTGATGTGGGATTGAAAATATGTAGAGAAAATGTCTTGCTTTTTATATACATTTGGTGGGTAAAAAAAATTGTAAGATCATAGGTGTTTTTGTTGTTTTAGAGTATAATGTTTGGTAGTGGTTTTTTTAGTGTAATATAGCATACGTAACCTGGCAGTTAATGTAGTAAGACAAAAATATTGAGAACAATCTTTAAGGCAGCACCAGGACAATGTTTCTGATATAGTTCCAATATTTTCCATAATAGCTTGTATAATTATGTCCTCCTCTTCATCCATCATCTTTTCTGTATTTCAGGCATAAAAGTAAGAAGGAATAGTCAGCGAAAGCATTTGACTTAGTTGACAACTCTTTGATAGCTCATGCATCTCCAAAATTTAGTACTTTATTGCTGCCAACATTATGTATTTAAATGAATGCAGCTTGATATCAAGAAAATGACCATATTGAAGGAAAAAATAAAATAAACTGCAGCCTTCTTCATGAGTAACACTTGAAACTGTTAAACACATTAAAATCTCATTTAACAAATAGCAGAACCTAATGAACATTGGGATTGCTCAGTGCATACTAATGTGGAATATTACTAGGAAAGATGTTAGAGTGCTGAAGTTTCTCATAGCTCAAAATGGTTATACAGATTAAAGAGAGGAACATCTGTTGTTCAAAAGACAAATGAAATTTGTCAGTTCACTGAAAATATTTTTGTTTCTGTATCTTTTTAAAAACTGTTTCTTAGTCTACTGCTCATTCTTCTATTTTGAAATTTCCAGAACTCTTTCTTTAAGTTTTGCATATCAATTTTATATCAGAAATTCTGGTACTGTACCTATATGTAGTCAATCAATCTCTGCTGTTTAGTAAATTGTAGCAATCTATTGTGTGATAATCAACTAGTATATCAACTATGAAATCATCTAATTCTGAAATTAAAATGATCAGAATTAAATTTAAATGATTGAAATCAAAATGATAGGTTTATCAAGTGACAGTCCATTAATTCCAGGCTGTTAGATGTCACAATACATTCAGGTGACTTCTGGTCTCTGGCCTCAAGTTCGAATAACAGTTTCCATTTATTTTCTATGACAAATCAAACAAGTAATTTGTCTTTTACTTATCTGATTTTATTCATCTGAAATGTGGCTAGTAGGCTTTATTGTATCATTTGTCATAGAGTTTGTTAGCCATGTTTGTAATAGAACTGTTTTTCATTCATCTATTCATTTATTATGTGAGTATTTAATCAATTACTCTTGTATATATCTATCCATCTATCCATCCATCCATCCATCAGTTCACTCATCCAATAAAAGTCTACTGAACATCTATGGAGATGATCATGCTGCATATATAGATGGCAAGACAGGTTTCTGTTGTCAAGGAGTAGCTCATGCCAACATGAGTACCGTCTTTAGTAACTCTTGCAAACTCTGTTGTGTTAAGGAGACTTATCAGACCCAGAAATTCTATTTCTAGATATATACCAAAAAAATTGAAAATAGGTATTATGTGTTCATGAATATGAATAGCAACATTATTAATGATAGCCCAAAGGTAGAAACAGTCCAAATATTCATCAACAGCTGAATGAATAAACAAAATGTGGCATGTATAGGCAGTGGAATATTAGTCATAAAAAGGAATGAAATATTGATACATACTACAACAAGGAAAACCTCAAAAATATTATGCTAGGCCGGGCACAGTGGCTCATGCCTGTAATCCCAGCACTTTGAGAGGCCAAGGGGAGTGGATCACCTGAGGTCAAGAGTTTAAAAACAGCCTGACCAATATGGTGAAACCCTGTCTCTACTAAAAACACAAAAATTAACCGGGTGTGGTGATGTGCGCCTTTAGTCCCAGCTACTCGGAAAGCTGAGGCAGGAGAATTGCTTGAACCGGGAGGTGGAGGTTGCAGCGAGCCAAGATCATGCCACTGCACTCCAGCCTGGGTGACAGAGCAACACTGTCTCAAAAAAAAAAAAAAGTGTGTGTATATATATATATATATATATATGCTATAAAAAAAAGTTCACCAACTACGGTGGTACATGTCTGTAGCCCCCCCACCTAGTTGAGAGGCTGAAACAGGAGGATCACTTGAGCACAGGAGTTTGAGTCTGCAGTGAGCTCTGATCAAGCCATGGCACTCCAGCCTAGGTGACCATGAGACTTTGGTCTCTGAACAGAAAGCAAACAAAAAAACCCAGTATGTTAAGTGAAAGTGACCAGACATGAAGGTCACATACTGCATGATTACACTAATGTGAAATATTTAGTATAGGTAACTTCATAACCACAAAAGCACATTGTTAGCTTACAGGGATTACAGAAGAAGGAAAATAGAGAATGACTACCTAATGGCTTCTGGATTTTCTTTTCGGCTGATAAAATGTGTTGGAATTAGATAGACGTGGTAGTTGCACAACATTGTGAATGTACTAAATGACAGAATTGTACAATGTATTTTTAAAATTTTAAATAGATATGAAAATTTTGATCCTACCCCAAATGTCAAAATCCCTACTATGTACAATTTAAAATGTTTAATTTTATGTGATGTGAATTTCACCTGAAATAACGACAAGAAAAAGAAATGCCTGTGATACCGCATTTTTCATTGACAAGATTCCTTGGTGCAGGGGGAAAAAAATAGCATTTAATGATTTTCAAATGACACATGTAACCTAAACACTGTAGAATCGTGACATTTGCCTAATCTAGGACCTTCTACCGGTTGCCCCTAGAGAAGACACCACTCAGTTAATAGTGTTGGATGAGTCTATCTACAGGTAAAAATAATTCACTTGTCTTTAGAGGACGCCATCAAGCACTCAGCAGCTAGGATGATTCCATCCAAATGCCTATTGTTGGTGATTTCAGGCTTAATTTCCTTTTCTGCTTCCTGATCCTACACGGATTCATACATATTCAAAAGTATTGTCGAGTATCTAGGATTAGCAAAGTGGTGGTAGGGGCAATGATTTTTTAGAAATCTATTGCTGAAAAGCTTACAATTTGGGTAAAGATCATCACTCTTGAAGATACATTTACACCTTGTAATGAGCCTTTTAGCTTTGCTCTCTGGCTTGATTTCCAGATTCCCAGCATTGATTGCCAAATCTAGCAAGTTATTTGGTAAGTGTGAATCACTGATCAATAAAAATCTACGACCACTCCTGAGAAAGGAACTGAACATGCAGGCCGAAGCAAGAATCAGTTCCATCTTTCTATGGTTACAAGATGCCATGTCATAGGCTATCAAATGTCTACCAGTAAATTTTAAAACTGTAATTATTATGAATCAATAGCAGTCATTTAATTGTGTGCTCTTGGAGTTTATTTAAAATTTATTTTCATACACTAAAATGACTTGGAGGTACAAATAGTAAAAAGTGTATTGCTTGTACTGTTCATGTAGTCATTTTTATTTGACTTCAACAGTCAATGAAAATAGGTTAATAAAATGTCTAGTATTTCATAATAGCCTACTATGTGTTACACATTATACCAAGAACTTTATATTTCTTTTTCCTTTTATATCAAGCTCATGATGTGTGGACTATTATCGCCATTGGACTGAAGAAAAAATTGAGGCCTGGAAAGAATAAGTTACTTTCTTCTAGGCCTCAAGGCTGATAAATATCAGAGACAGGATATGAATCCTGGTCTGTTAGACTCACAAAACTGTATTCTTAACAATTAAGCTTTTAAAATGTCTTTTTATACAAAAGTAGGAAAAACAAATATGATACCAATAACATTTATTTAAATTGTGAATGCATAATAAGAAAAGAAATATGTGTGTGACAGCATTTTTTCCAGTTTTCCATTTGGCCAAACCAGCTTTTCTCTAAAATAATGAGTTATGCTAAATCACTCTGCTAAAATCACCAGATTGTACAAAAGTACCAATAAAATGAAGGTTGTAGATACAGAGAACAATGGATTTAATTTAGGCCAAAAACAAATTGCAGAGATCATTCTAAGTAAGTCAACTGAACATTTTGAGAAAGTTTAGCTTATACTGACTACAAACATGCAGCTTCATCTCTAAGAAAAGCAAAACAAAATCATTTTCATCTTTTATTTCAATTTAAAAGCTGAGATGGAGTATTAATATTGTCTACCTCTGCTTTCCTTATTTAAGTGCTAAAAGAAATCAGTCATTGGAATGTTTTCCGTTTTAAAAATCCCTTTATGATTTTAAAAGTGTCTATCTGTCTACACAAAATGAAAATCCAAACACATAGCCAAGAGCCAAAGGATGAGGAAGAACATTCTCATATCTGTTCAACATTTGGGGGTGGTGGCTATTTTCAGCATTTTAGACTGAGCCAACTTGACCTAATATTACAAATGACCAGAGCTTTTGGCTGTGGTGTTCATCAGCCTTCTTTCTCAGCATACATAATTGGCTTATATTTATGTCATTGTTACTGTTCGATTCCTACAGCTGTGTAGTACCTAAGAACTTTACTTTTTCACCATCCACCATCTCTTTTCTCCTCTGCCCTAGGTTGAGCTCTGTTAACCTTGAATCCGCTGTCTCCTATCCTACTGATGGAAGCGTTGCAGCAGCTGTAGAAGTGTGCCAGTGCCCACCAGGTTATACTGGCTCCTCGTGTGAAGTAAGCTTCCAAGAATATATCCTCAGTGCATTTGAAGTTCCCTCAACATTTTTTTCAATAAGTTATTCTAAGGAGAGCTGTTTATATCTATCAATAATCACACAAATAATGTGTATCATTTAAAAAAGGAACTTGAATAGCTACCAAAAGTCATGGCTTTCAATTAGGATATTAACCACGTAATTTCATCTTGTAACTGTTCCTCTCTGAGATACTTTGCCTATAGCTGAAAATCTGATATTTCTGTCTTTGTTGCCTATTTGATCTATTGTATGCTAGATGGTAGCAGAGTAGCAGTTCAAAATGTTTTTCTCTTCATTTTCATCATAATGATTATCAAAAATTTAATGCTAATTTTTTTACATTTCTCTCATTTTTTAATCCTATGTATTACACTTTTCCTCTGCTACATTTCTAAGAATACAACCGAATTGCAATCATCTGAAGCATACAATCTTCAGAATGTCAAGAACATAATATGTGAAAAAATGCCTTGATACAGAAAATTGCCTACAGTTCTTTGATTTATTTAGCACCTAATGTTTGAGATATTTATTGTTGTCTCAATATCCTAGATTTATAATAAGATTAATGGTTCTTACTTGATACCACAGTCTGTCATCTTAAGGTAACAATTTTTATTTATTTATATGTATTTTTCTTTCAGGTTGTATGAAAATTGGTCCTACTTGAAACCTGGTCAAAAAATGTGAACACTATTTCCTTGACAGAGGGCATGGCTTGCAGATAAATAGGAGCTTAGTTTCTTTAAAGTGGTGCCTTTAAGGAATCATTTGAAGTGTACTGAGATGCTCCACTTCAGAACACTACCTCACCATGCCATTTATAGAAATACTCTAGGCATTCCTTTGCCAGTTCTCTTGTACTTTTAAAATAATGCACACATCTAGAGATATGCAGTCATATTCATGACAGTGTTTCCTTTAACTTAGCTCAGATTCGCCTTTCTAGAAATAAAACTAGATATAACTTACAGAAATACTTGCTGTTCCAAAATTCATGTGGATAAGAGAAAAATAATTATGGATATCAATTAGCTGTGTCAACCCAAATTTGATTTTACATATTAAAATACACAATGTATTTGATGAAACAAGAACCTTTTACTCTTGATTCCAACCAGACTGCTCTAGTTGAACCTTTAAGATCCTCTTGCAATTAGAATACTAAATAATTAATTCTACTCTTAATGCTTGTTTCCACATACATTATTCTCATCCTTAGCGTAATCTTTTATGCAAGTCGTAAATGCCCACTGAATATCAAATTACTTAAATATTAGAATTGCTTAATTGGCTATGCTTTTAGTCTCTTTATTCTCTCCTTCAAAAATATTTTTGATATATTCTAGATATGTTTGATAAATTCTGTAAATTTACCTGTATAAAATACTAATAAGTACACACAATATAATCCCTGTCCTTAAGGAGCTAACAATCTGTTTAGGGAAACAGTAAATACCTACAAAAAATGGGATCTCAGCACTGTATAATTAAGGGACCAGTATGTGCTACAGAACATACATGCAATAATCACTACTGCAGTGGAGAGAGATGAAAGTATCCTGGAGTGGAGAAATCTGAAATTAGATGCTAAATAATGGTAACAGATAGATAGGGAGAAGCATGTGAGTGTGAAAAAACAACACAGAGAGTGATAATAAAAGCTTCCTGTATGTGTCACACAATAATCTTTTGATAAATAAAGTTACTTTGTAGCCCATAAAATAATTTAATTGAATCAGGAGACAATTCTGGAATTTCGGATTTTCTCTCTGACTGCTTTATTTCTTGTACTCTCTAAAACTTTTTTCTTTATCAAAACTTCCTATCCCTAAATTTGCTGTTATCCAGTCCTGTCCTTTCATTATTTCATTTGCTTTTTAATTAAGTGTAGTTCATAAGGTCAGTCACTCTAGCACTGTTATCACTAATATCCTGGGATCCCTTAAAAGCTGAGTAAATGCCAAAGACCATTAATGTCTTAATTCCATCTTGCTGAGAACCTCTAGGTAAAAACAGATCAAATGACTCCATTGCAGACATTCTTTTTTACTTCATTTGGGGGCCACAGTGTTGATTCAGAATATTTTTTCTGATTTCTACTTGACTTCCTATAAAGCGCTATACAGTTAAATCTTCCAAAAATTTTCTTACTTTCATAGCAGTGTTATCATTCATTTCACTTGACAGATGAGACAGGTGGGATACTAAAAAAAAGAGTTTTCGGCAATCTCGGTTTCTTTATCTATGTGACGGAAGTAATATTAACCACCTCATAGAAGTGTTTGTTCATACTTTCATTTTGCTGACTACTATTTGATGAGCATATATTGTGAGACAAATAAGATCCTACACATGGAAAATAGTGTGATTAACAATACAGATATTGTCCCCATCCTCAAGGATGTTGCATTGAGTGGTGGCATTAACAATATGCCAGAAGCAAATATAAATAGATGTGACAAATGCTATGAAGGAAATAAACAGGGTGAAAATAAACAGGGTTCTATGATAAAGTTGCTGCAAGTGGTTGTATGAAGGATAGAAAGTCTACTTTGTAAAAGTTTGTCAGGAAAAGCTTTCTGAGGTGGTGACAGCTAAATTGAGTGTTGAAGAATGAGAGAGACGACGATATAAAATGAGCTGCTAAGAAAGCAGCGTAGAGCTTGGAGTGTGTAAGGACTGGAAAGAAGGCAAATATGGCCGGAGCTTCGTAAGCAAGGGGAAAAAGTCAGACAAGATGTGATTGGAGAAGCCAGGCCAGTCGGAGCTGTGCATACATGATAAGAACTGAGCATTTTATTCTCATGCCATGGAACATTAGCAGAGTAGTGGACTAGTGTAATGATCTGATGTATATTTTTGGGTTTTGGGGTGCTTTCTGTTTTTTGAGACAAGGTCTTGATCAGTCACCCAGGCTGGAGTACGGTGATGTTGTCATGGCTCATTGCAGCCTCAGATTCCTTGGCTCAAGTGATCCTCCTGCCTCAGCCTTCTGAGTAGTTGGGACTACAGGTGTATATCACCATACCCAGCTATTTTTGTTTTAGTAGAGACAAGATCTCAATATGTTGCTTGGGCTGGTCTTGAACTCCTGAGCTCAAGAATCCTCCCACTTCAGCCTCCAAAAGTTCTAGGGTTACAGGCATGAGCCACCACACCCAGCCTGAGTTACAGTTGTTTGAAGAAGGCATTATGGCTACAGCAGGAAGAATATGTCTTAGGAGGCCATGAATGATAGCAAGGAGAAGGGTTAACATACAGTTGCAATGGAACATGGCAATGATAGTGATTGGTGTTAAGATGATGGCAGGACTTAGCATATTCTACGTATATTTTGGTAGTACAACCAATAGGACTTACAGATTCAAGACTGTATGTCGGAGGAGAGATTAAAGAAATAGAGTTTAAGAATGAGTCGTAGATGACCAGTTTGAATGATTGATCAGTTGGTTGTGGGTCATTTACTGAGCTGAGGAAGACTGAGAGGAATAGTTAGTGCGAGTGGGGTGTATGGAATCCGTAGTCCAGTTTAGAATTTTAGGTTTGAAAAGGCTGTGAAGTGTAAATGCCAATGTGTATTTATAATATTCAGATCTCAAACTCAGCATGTCTGTCTGTTCTAGAGATATGTTTTTGGAAAGCATCATAAACTACGGGACTGAATAAAATTACCCAGGAGAAAGTGTAATTGATTTGAAAAAAAAAAAAAAAGAAAGAAAAATAATCAAGACCAAGCCCTGAGCAGCTCCTAACATTAAGAAGCAGGGTCAAAGTAGAGGAAACAGCAAAGAAATAGGGTAGGAAATTTGGGAAGTCTGATGTCATGGAAGTAGAGAAAAGAAATTGTGAGAGAAAAAGGAGTCAACTAGGCCCAAGGCTGTTGAAAGGTCGGATAAAATACAACTGTGGAATTGTCCATCTAATTTGGCTGCATGGAATTCGGTGACAAGGACAAACGCAGTTTTAATTGAGAGGTGGTGACACAAAACAGATTAGAATGGAATTCAGTGTGAAAAAAAGGTGAAGAATATACTTGTTAAGAGTGGTGTTACCGAAAAGAAAAACACAGATGACTAGAAAAGTTATAGGACGTTAAGAGGACAGTTTTGTTATTTTTGGTTTGTTATTTTATTTTATTTTTTTTTGAGACGGAGTTTCACTCTTGTTACCCAGGCTGGAGTGCAATGGCGCGATCTCGGCTCACTGCAACCTCCACCTCCTGGGTTCAGGCAATTCTCCTGCCTCAGCCTCCTGAGTAGCTGGCATTACAGGCACGTGCCACCATGCCCAGTTAATTTTTTGTATTTTTAGTAGAGACGGGGTTTCACCATGTTGACCAGGATGGTCTCAATCTCTTCACCTCGTGATCCACCCGCCTTGGCCTTCCAAAGCGCTGGGATTACTAGCGTGAGCCACCGCACCCGGCCTGGTTTGTTAATTTTTGAGGGAGACACTGGAACATATATTTCTGAGCTGATGGTAATGGCCCAGTAGAAAAGAAAGTTATTACTAATGTATCAGAGAGTGAACATTGAGAAGACAACAGATGCTGGAATCAGATGACAAGTGGAGTAATATTCCTTTAGGAAGAAGGACCCTCAAGCCCCACATCACTTATTTGAAAAGGGAATATGGCAACAATGCTTGGAGATAAATGCTTAGCTCTCTGGGCTTATTGGTGCAAAGATGGCTTTAATTTTTCCTGTGAGTAATGCAATAAAATCACTGGCTAAAAGAGAGAGGTGTAAGGAGTTAGGAGGTTTGGAGAAAGAAGATATGATGTCAGAAGTGCATTTGCAGAACATTAAAAAAAAATGTACATGAGGAAAACTTCATGAATATGTCTGAAAACAGTAGATTAGTTCTCTTCCTTTTCTCAACATCCTTAATTTTTGCCTCCTTATGAATATGTAGCTTCACCAGCTTTTTTTTTTTTTTTTTTTTTTTTTTGATACAGAGTCTCACTCTGTTTCCCAGGCTGGAGTGCAGTGGCCTGATCTCCACTCATTGCAACCTCTGTCTCCCGGGCTCAAGTGATTCTCCTGTCTCAGCCTCCTGAGTAGCAGCTGAGATTACAGGTGCACACCACCACGCCCAGCTAATTTTTGTAATTTTGGTAGAGACAGGGTTTCACCATATTGGTCAGGCTGGTCGCTAACTCCTGACCTCAAGTGATCCATCCACCTCAGCCTCCCAAAGTGGTGGGATGACAGGCATAAGCCTACTGTTTCTGGCCAGTTTTACCAGCTTTTAAAAATGTATATTACAGAAGGAAATCAATTCTCTAATGAATCTAGGAAGACAAAAAATGTAATAGGGAGAAATGAAAAGGCATTTAATGCAGAGAAATGGTTAAAACTTTGACACCTTTTTTTTTGGTACTGCCCAAATTAAGGGGGAAGTTTATTTTATTTTGTTTATTTTATTTTCATATATAAAAAGTATCAGTACAGAAATTTGCTTATGTGTTTGTTTCTGATGCTCAAATTTGAAAGTCCTCACATCCTGAGGCAGAAGGAACATTTTCAAGGACACATCACACAATTCTGTATCCTTTATTACTTCAGTTCTCTTTTGTTTCCTTTTTCAACTGGAAAAGCAGGCCTTTTCATGATATCTGATGCTGTACTCAACCATCCAGAAATATAGTAAATAACCCACAAGATGCAATTTCACTGGAGGAGGATCATAAGCTCTTAGAGGGCAGCAGTACTTGCCTGGTGCTGATGTTGCATCTTAACCACTTTGTAGTAATCTCCACAGAAGGAAAACTTAATTAAAGATAACAGGGAACTGAGAGCAGCCACTGACACAGGGAATCTAAAACTCAAATATCTGTTTGAACCAGAATTCAGTTTTTATACAATAAAGCGTTTCACATTTTAAATAAGGAATGAAAAATACAAGCAAAATTATAGAAGAATGTCATAAAATAAACTATCAAGAAAATACGTGTTGAAATAAATCATAAACATTTTGTGTAAATTTGAGAAAGCATAATAGGATGGAGGAAATTAAGCCGAAACGCATGAATGATGTAAGTGTAGATGTATGTAGAAATTAGCTGTGTATGTGGTCACATATAAGTGTGGGTACTGCCTTGCTACCAAATCATGTCAAAGATTTTCTGGAAATGAAGAAGTCAGGGGCAATTAGTATGTGGGAAAGGGAACACATTCCAGAGAATCAAAACTGCTTGGGGTGACACGGGGTGCTCTCTTAGGCTAAGATGATAGGAAGAGTCCTTTTATGTCAGCTGCCTTTTTTGCAGTACTTTTCTATTTTCCTGTCTGTGCTTTTTACCTTGATGCTGTCACATTTCAATTCTTTATATCTCTGCTTTATTTTACCATTTCAGAAGCGACACCAAGCTAATGCTTCCTCTAATCTCATACCTGCCAATAACACTAAGGTCAGTGCAAAGCCCTAATGTCAGGAGGAATAGCTCTGTTGTAATGTTTCAATAATGGCAATGCTTTGACAAGCACATTTGATGAGTCTCCTCCCTGTTATTTTCTGTTATCAGAAAACAAACACAAACAAAATCACCTTTTTGTTTCAATCTCCCCAACTGACTGAAGCCTTCTCTTCCTTTCAGTCTTGTTGGCCTAGGCACAGGCGAGTTAACGGCACTATTTTTGGTGGCATTTGTGAGCCATGTCAGTGCTTTGGTCATGCGGAGTCCTGTGATGATGTCACTGGAGAATGCCTGGTAAGTGCCCTCCTTTTTGGGGATGCTGATTGACAAGGCTGAACTCACCTCAACAGATGCCACAATTCAGTTACTACCCTGGGGACTGTAAACACTTGAGTCAAGAAGTGCTTTGACAAAGATCTTTGTACTGAACTGAGTTGGAACTAAGAACGCTCTTTCATATGTGATATTCCTGATGAATATAAGGAAGTGTTTATTCATATTAGTCCAAGAATTAAATTAGAATAGGTATATTTTTATAAAGCATAACTTATAATGGTAGATATAGCTACCACAAATATATACGGTTTCACTTCCATTCATAAATCTATGAAAAGTACAGTGTACTTTTAAAATAGAAAATAATTTATATCCCCATAATATGAAAAATGTAAAATATAACCTTTACAATAAACATAATTAAGTTTTCTTCATATTGAAAATAAAGACATACTGAATATTTTAATTTAAAATGTTCAGAATTTAACTAAACACATAGTATCATTTGTAGATTAAAAATAATAACAATATTTAATACATATTCACCAGAGCTGCTCCTCCTTTACAATTTAATCTAAGCTTTAACAAGAAAATAGACTCTACAAAGTGCAAAGCACTTTCCATCCTGCTAAGAAGCCTTAGGATTGGAGAATTACACTGAATAGACCATTCTGACTTAACTCAAGGGCACATTAGTTTTATATTGTCTGACATGGCATGAAGCTTGAAACAACACTTCTCATTTCATTAGTCTTGCAGAAATGCAATTTAAAATGGTGCCAATTTAGGTGGATATCATACTCTCATTTCCCTGAAGAATTTAAGACGGACTCTGTTGTCTTTAATTCTTAATATCCTCTCTTTCTCTTGCTCATTTTACCCCATTTTTCTTCTACTTAAAAGCTTCTGGGAAAATTCTGAAATGAAAATTCAGGGCTTTTGTTTCAATGTAATTTGGCATTAAGGTTTATTGATGTTCTTTCTCTTTTCTCTATATAAGATTTTGTTTAATTGCATTGCATTATAAAGCACGAAAGCCTTAATTTGTGGATCAGTAGATTCTTGAAATGACATTTTTATGAATAGAAAGACTAAGTGATTTTCATTTTAATTATGCCATAAGTCTTTTAAAATGTACTTTGGGAAAAATATTGGGTTACCTTTAAATACTTTACTAACATGCAATAGGAAATAATATTCAGCCCAAAACTGACATGTATTTGTTTTACTTACCCTAAGAGGACAAAAATAAGTGTGTCATGATACCAAACTCATAATATTCCCTATAGTCATATTTCATGTTTAATTCATTAGGATGAAATCAAATCAAATGTTCATGCTGAATTCATTAGGAGGAAATCAAATTGGTCCATTTGGTGATGTGATATTTCTAAAAATGAAAGCCTTTTTTAACCAATAAAACAGTGTCATTCAGCATAATTTTGAGAGAAAAAAGAGAGGGAACAGTGTTGTGTGAGACTCTATTAATGAAACCTAGTTTATTGATTTTATTTCATGACAGGGAGATAGGAGTTCTCTTTCAAATAACAGAGTTGTCTTGAGGAAACAGTGAACATCTTGATGATAAAGACAGAATCTGGTGTTTTCTGAATTTTCTATCATAGCTAGTAAATAGGTGATCATGTAGGATATACTGACTTTCAAGTGCCCTTTCTCCAAAATGATATTGATAACTAAGTGCTGATATTCCATTTGGAGTATAGAGGGGTTCTGATGTAATATACAAAGAGGAAAATATTTGTATGTTGCTCATCAAGGGCATTCTTACTATTCAGTTGACCCAGTATGTTAGCTTCTTATTTATTTTTCATGGTTTTTACCCAGCATTAAATAACATGGTTTTTACTATGAAAAATAAATTTATAAATGAATTCTTTTTAGCTTAGCTTGCTTTAATATTTGCTTATAAATTAACTGAAACATATTTTGGACACCAGAACAAAATTTAAACTTCTGCAATAGTGTAGGTCTGTATGAAAAAGGCATTTTAACTGGAAGTACGTTTGAAGTAACCTAGGAAGTATTCAGTGTCACATGGGAAGATTGCATGCTTGCTTATTCTCATGGTTCTTGTGATATATCATGTGAGCAAAAATTTGTTAAATACTTCTGTAACAAGACACCTGTAAAATTCACCAATCCATCAGAGTGAAACTTCCATCTTTTTGTTTTGATTTCCATTGTGTTGCTTGTCTGATGCTGTTTTCTGGATTCCATGACAAAAATACTTGAGTTTTAAGATGGCATTTATTTAATGAAATGTGACGTTAGAAAATATAAAAACTACCTGTTATTTCCTTTTAAATCAATAAGCAGAAAAAATAGCGTCTCTGTTTTTTCCGAAATGCAAGATTTTCAGTTGAATGTTAGAAATACCATTTTCAACATGTTTAAGGCATAATTTTTGATTCAATTTTAAAATTCTTAAGTCTTTGAAGATGTAATTTTTAGTTATATCCCTGAGATAACATACAAGGAATTTTTTTTTAAAAAAAAACAATTCTTTAGTGATAACTTAGTCTAGCTAAACTTGAAAACTGAAAGGAAGTAAAACAAAGATCAAATCAAAGGGAAAAATCTTTCTTCAAATCGATCAATGTTTTGCTTAGTAAATCACAATATGCTGCATTATTAAGGCAACTATTCATAGCGAAGTTGACCTTAATGCTATCTTTTAAAAAGTTTTTTTAAAAATAAATTTGAGAGAGAATTTTAAATAACTTAAAGAAAAGCCTATTTTCAAATATCACCAGTTACTACAGAAATACATATTCACATTTAGTTGATGTAACTGTCATGTGATGTTTAAATTTTTTCAATTTTCTCAATGTTTAATTATAAGACAAGCAAGCTTTTCACAGATGTAATACAGTAGTCATTGTCCAAATCATCAGAGTCCACTGAGGCCAAAATTAATGTCTGCGCTAAGAGGGCATAGCCCCAGAGGATTTGTATAATTAGCCACAGTTCCCATTAAATCAGCAATTTCAAGCTGAACAATTGATTTTTACCTAGAATTATCTACAATTTCCATTAAACATATTTTATTAGCACCTTATGACTACACACACACACACACACACACACACACACAATATCATGTATTTACTTAAGAGAAAACTAAAGAAAAAAAGGAAGTAAGATTTGCATAATGAAAAACATTAAAATGAATTTCGGTCATGTTTTTGTAAGTATGCATATGCGGAAACTACTGTGTAGTTTATATGCTAGATATTAAATTAACTTTCAATGCTATTTCCCTGCTGTAAGATTGACCATTTAACATGGAAAAAATATTCTTGCTGGTGAGGAGCAGACTAATGATTTTGTAGAACTATTTTTGGCAACATGTTGATGCCTGAGACCAAAATAATAAACTGTTGATGTGCATTTCTTCCTCAGAACTGTAAGGATCACACAGGTGGCCCATTCTGTGATAAATGTCTTCCTGGTTTCTATGGCGATCCTACTAAAGGAACCTCTGAAGACTGTCAACCCTGTGCTTGTCCACTCAATATCCCATCTAATAAGTAAGTAACGAAATTACTCCATGAAGCAGTTCAGCATCCATTTCTGCAAGCACTTTTAATATCAAATATACTCTTTCTCTTATCCCATGTAAATAAATAATAAACACAGACATGAATTTTTTTCAGGAAGGTAATGTGAATTTTTCCAAACATTAGATATTTAAAATTATAATGATTTAGTTTTAAGAATTTGTAATTTTTTTGCTCTAGTTTTGGTGATTTAATATCTAAGAGCAGAACTCAAATAGAATTTCCACACCAATTCCAAGGAACAGAAATATTTTATACAAACACATACATGTACATGCATGTACACACCTACACACAGATACATATCCATCTTCGTACCTTAATAAAAGGATACAAATACAGCTAATTTGGTTTCTAACCACAAACTATTTTTTGGTGAATCTTAGGCTAGTAATAAACCTCTCAAAAGGTACAATGAAGGGACTGAATTAACTGACTTTTAAGCACCCATCCTGTCCCTTTAAAAAAAAAAAAATTCTAGTTGTTCACCTAGAACAACCACCTCTTAGAGCAGATTTTAAAAACAAACACCAAGAATAGTTGACTTTCTCTTTTCCTTAACTTTTAGGGGAATGCTATAGCCAGCTGCTTGAATTCACATTCTCTCAGGGCAGCCATCTCAAAGTAAACAGCTAAGCACACCCCAACCAAAAATATTATATTTTGTTTTTAAATGGGGATACTAGGTTGAATAAAAATCAACCATTTTTACTTGAAAGCAATTACAAATAACTATACTTTTAAATCAAAGGAAATTCTTTTCTGAAGAACTCTCTTAAAGGTAAGCTCAGTGCTTAATAAAGTTCATATCATATTGTACACTTTCCAGCTATCTCTAGGCACTGTGGTAACACTGACAGAGCAAAAACTTTCAATGATTTTTAAGGGAAATCTGTCAGCTACACTCTTTTAATGTGAAGATGTGATCAAGTAGGTCATACTTCAAGCTCTTATCCAGAATGTGCCTAATTAAAATGATCTTTTGTTAGTTTCAATGACTACTATAAGCTAAAGGCTTTGAGAATAATTCTGACATTAAGTTTAAATGTTCTCCTTGGAACTGTGCTTCCCACTGTTCAATCCACATGAAATCCTTATCCTCCCAAGGACCCTATTTACTCAGAAATTTTTACCTTACACATTTGGATAAGAAGAGAAGGAACTATTACTTAATGAAAGCAGACTACTAGATTCTGGGCCAAACACTATATTTGGTATTATTTCACCTTCAGCTATAAGTCAGTAAAGTAGATATTATTATCTCCATTTTATAGATGAAGAAATGAAAGCTGTTAGTAGAAAAATAACATTATGGTGCCAGTTCTGGAGCCAGAATCTTTGGTTTAAATTCTGGGTTCCATTCTTTCCAGCTGTGCAACTTTAGGCAAGTCACTGAAACTCTCTGTGACTCAGTTCTGTCATCATTAGTTGTAATAATAGGACTCTTATAGGGATGATGTGGGAAAGACATAATTAAAATGTGTAAACCACCTTAACCTCTGACTGAATATGGTGAACCCAATCTAAGAGCTGATTGTTATTAACCTCCTCAGAGTTATTCAAGTTGAAATTTTAGTTTTAAAATCCATGTGCTTTCCAGATGTCTACAGTCTGCAATGAAGACTTCTTAAAAAAAAAATACACACTGCATTTTAAGTGGTAACACTAAAATCAATAATTAATTCATTGGATAAGTCAATTTATCTAGCAAGGCTTTGAGAAAATAAGACATTGGTTTAATGCAGGGGCCCTCAACAATCCATGGTCCGTTACGAACCAACCATCCATGGCCTGTTAGGAACCAGGCCGCCTAGAAGGCGGTGAGTGGTAGACATTACCACCTGAGCTCTGCCTCCTATCAGATCAGGCAGGCATTAGATTTTCACAGGGGCTCAAACCCTATGTGAACTGTACCTGCGAGGGATCTAGGTTGTGCGCCCCTTACGAGAATCTAACTAATACCTGCTGATCCGATGTGGAACAGTTTTATCTCAAAACTTCTCCCCTGCATCTGTGGAAAAAATTGTGTTTCACAAAACCAGTACCTGATGCCAAAAAGGTTAGGCACCACTAGTTAATATATATTAGTGATCAGAGCATTTCCAGGGCTTAAAGCATTAGCCTGGATGGGCACAAAACTGAAGATTCTTTAATAACCAAGGGTGTCAGAGAAGAGGAAGAAGGCAAGAGAGAAACCTACTGGAAAATAATGAATATAGGAGAACAAATGAAATACACTTCTTCATTATTAATGGCTGAGGAGCCAGTGATACTCAAGTCTATGATAGTCCTAACATGACACAAAACCTGCATTCTGGCATATATGTGAAAGATTAGCTCACCCAATGGAAGATCTATTCGTTGGCCATGGCTGAATGGCATTCTCTTCTCTTAACCAGCCTCATTTACATGAAACTCATTGTTCATGACTAACTTTCATAGAGGAAAGCAGAAAGGATTGCATCTGGCCACTTGTATTGCGTCTCCTTCTCAGCCAAAATGTCATGGGCATTCTTAGCACGACTATCAATTCAGCAGAGCTGGCTGCTCATTGCGCCATGTGAATTCTAGCTGAATACATTTTAGAATTATATAACTGAGTATGTGGACCCTATGGATTTACCCTCAAGTCTGACCAACATTACTATAAATGCAGAGGAAGCATTAGAGAGATAATTTTGCTCGGATAATTATAGGCATTCATGATGCATTGTTGTCTCTTTATCTGCTGCGCATTTGCTTTGATAATGGGTTCTAATTGTTGTTTCTGAAAAAGAAAGAGTCTGTGAACGTTAAAACAACATCCATCAGTGTCAAAGGAACTGGAGTTTCAGTGTCCAATAATGGTATTTCCTAAAATATGTGTATTCCAATTTGGTATAATGATGTTGATCCTGATTTTTAAAAATACAGACAAGACAATATTAACAATACCAGCAACACCAAATATTAAAAAAAATTATTCCATTTTCAAAGTGCTTTCACTTACAGTGATTAATAATTATTAGTAAATATTAATTAGCAAATTAGCAAATATTAATATTAAATTAAAACTAGCAAACTAGCAAATATTAATAATTAGAAAAGTATTATATTTTTAGTAGTAAAATTGGGAATAGAGTAGCAATCCATTTTAAATTCCAACTTTCAATGTGGTATTTTAACAAGTAGAAAGAGAGGGCAGAGATAATTCACTTAGTTTATAAATCCTGAAGGTTTGTGGTAGGGTTATAAGGTCTTTTACATTTAAAACAGTTTAAAACAATTTTACATTTAAAACAACTAGAAAATTATCATACTTTAGCTGCACAGCTGTGATGAGAAAAATCCATTTTCATCTAACAACCTGAAATGTCTAAAAAAAAGTATCACTAAACAAGACACTTAATGACCTAGGGAAACTATCCTTTTAAAAAATATTTTATAAAAAAAGTTACTATTATAATGTGAGCTAGAAACTCTAATGTATGAATTGAATACTTGCATGTAATCCTGAAGATGAGATTTTAATTTCCAGGGGTTATTCAGAGAAGAAAAAAAAGGGAGCTAAAGGTTGCCGCAACCTTCATGGGAAGTCTAAAGCTTACTGATAGTTTTACCTGGGTGATTTATCTATTTAATCCCTGATCATAAATCTTATAGATCACAAGCATTTTGGCTCCAAATTTCTTAGATAATATTGCTAAATAAATCAAATATGTAAGAAGATAGAGATAGATTGGTATAATTATTATGATGTATGAATACAGAAAAGCATATAATATTTAAATTATGCATATATATCAACTTCATCAACTCCTGTGGTCACTGTGCTTGGACATCTCATTTTGTTGATGTATATATTCCAGCTATAGATTGTAATTAGGCAGTAAAATTTATCTGTAGAGAAGCAAATAAAAATGTTAATATTTCAAATGTTTTATATTCATTAATTTCTGGCATCACATAGCTTATAGGTTAAATAAAATAAGAAAGCAACATGTGAATGTCTGCCTTTGAATACTTAGGATGTGTTTGAATATATAATATTATTGAAGTTGTTATAGATTTTCATCAGTTATATAATAAAAGATATTATTGGTGCAAGGCTGGACAGAGATATGTCCTCAATAAGATTTGTCTATTGGCCGGGCGCGGTGGCCCAAGCCTGTAATCCCAGCATTTTGGGAGGCCGAGGCTGGTGGATCACGAGGTCAAGAGATCGAGACCATCCTGGTCAACATGGTGAAACCCCGTCTCTACTAAAAATACAAAATATTAGCTGGGCATGGTGGCACGTGCCTGTAATCCCAGCTATTCAGGAGGCTGAGGCAGGAGAATTGCCTGAACCCAGGAGGCAGAGGTTGCGGTGAGCCGAGATCACGCCATTGCACTCCAGCCTGGGCAGCAAGAGTGAAACTCCATCTCAAAAAAAAAAAAAAAAAAAAAAAAAAGATTTGTCTACTTGTAGTAGTATAATTAATACTGCTTCATGTGGGTCGGGAATACTGAAATTTAAGTTTTTGAAAGAATGAAACTTTCAAATTTGACCTGACCCTGACCTTTGGGCTTACTTAAGAGACCATACTGAATGCACATTGTTAAAATTAATATAGAGAAGTATATTCCAAGACAAGAGGCAAATTTAAGGAAATGTTCAATTCAACCGTATTCTCTAGAAAACTGAGAATGCTCTAGATGTTTTAGTGGTCTTTCCTACACAACGTTTTATGTCCACATGGGAGATTATGATGGGTCTTCCTAGTTCCATATACCAAAGGAGAAAACTAAAGTTCAGAGAAATTAAATGCCTTGATTGTGATTATACAGCTTGCTTGTGGCAGCACCAATATTAGAACTCATATATTTTGACTCACCTCTTTGTGCTTCTTCCAATGGGGCTACAGTAATAGAAACAATTACAGAAACATTGAAAATAAGCAAAAAAAAAAAAAATCAGTAGAATTTAATGTCAGAAAAACTGTAAATGCTCACTGTAAAAATCAGTAAATCTTCACTGTTTGGCACGAGTTATGTTGACTATGCTACATAGTTACAGTTATGTTAACAGTTATGTAATTAAATATTAATTAAATATCTTAACTATCTCAATTAAATATCTTAAACATTAAACGAATCAACATATCTTAATTTGTTTAAAAATGTATAAAAAAGGCAAAGTTTTTAAAAAGTTACTAAATTGTATCTATAATTTATTTTGGCACTATGCTTTCATACTTTCTCAGTATAAAAGGGTTTGTCAGATCAATCATATTATTCCATTTTGCAGAGTGGGAAACAAGTTTAGAGAAACATATCATTCAAAGACATATTTAGAAAATAAATCAAATCTAATTACAAAATCCAATTGTGGAGATTAAATCAGATTTCATAGTATGTAAAGGTAATTAACGAAATAAGTGTTTGCTTAATGATTCTGCTGAGAGTAACTGGGAGACATCATTGAACTGAAGAAGAAAAAACTTAGAAACTTCAGAAATGTATGAAGCCAACACCAAAATTATGAAGTCAATGATTTTTTTCTTTATTTTCTTCTCAGTCCTCTGCCCCTTTTCAGTTGTGTGTGGATATTCTCATTACCCTCCCCTCTAACTTCCCCACTGCCATTTTGTAGCCACTCAGAATGGTTTCTCTTTTCCTACCCAACTGTCCAAGATAAGAATTTAGTTGAAAGGAGCCCTGATCCCCTGTTGTATAAGCAAATACAGTACATGCCCTGATTCTCTAACCCTAATGATGGAAGTTTCAATTTTATGCCATTGATTAAAGGAGTGGTTGTTTTATATCACATCTCAGTCCTAAGAAGTAATTCATTGTATTTTATTACAAATGCATGACAGTTAAAGACATATAAAATAGTTTCACACATTTACTTACTATGTGTTTAATTTTATTTTAGGGTGTTGGATTAACTCTCTGGGAGCATTTTACATTAGAACTGAATTTTAGGACCTATGGAAGCAGTTTCCCCAATGTCTGATAATCGGGAATTGTTGAGCTTCTGTTGAGTAGTTGTTTTGCTTTTGGCTTCTCTGAATCATTTACCTGTTGATTGTTCCTTTCGCATTAGCTGTGAAAAACCTCAAAGCCAAATGTTGATCCTCCATTAACAAATGAACATACCTTATAACATGCTTTTTGAACTCTAAATACATCCTTGAGTTTATCTTTTTTAAAAAATATTTCTTTCTCTTTAACCTTGCTTTATTTTTAGTGCACATATTTTTATAGAATTAAATTCTTTTTAGAGCAAGGTTAATTGTTTCTGTATGTATGTATTCACATACTTAAATATATATACATATGTTGACATACATATTCACATATATACACATGTATACACATACACATATACATGCTTATCAGTAGATCATTATAAAAATAGAAGTGCATATTCAGCTATTAAGAGGGATAATTTTCATGTGCATATTCATACTGTTTATCCCAATAACAGCTTCCCTTCCTCCCCTATTTGTGGAAAACACCTGCTGCTCTTGGCTTTTTTGTGTTTCCTTGTGGCACAGTTTGGATAGTCCAGGATGAAGAACATTCTCTGCTGGTGTGGATCTCACCGAATAGAGTTAAATGACATAATCTTGGAATCACTTGAAGTCAATGATGATCTCACATTTTCCTCTTTGTGTCACGGAACAAGAGCTTCATGACTTGGCCAAAATCAGTGCTAAGGCCTCTACATTTGCCAATGCAAATTCTGTAGGCTGTTTTATTGTGCATGTTTATTTCTCATTCTAATGTTATGTTTGTTGTTGAATGCCGTCTTCTGCCATAGCTGTAACTGCAGTTACAGCAGTAAGAGAGTGAATCTTCAGTTTATGTTGTTGAAAGAATAACAAAGCACAAATACAGATATAATTTATGAGAAAGTTTTATTTGGAGGCATCAGGTTGAGTATTTATATTACTAGAAGATTAAACTTACTTAATTCTTACCAGTAGGTTTCAATGACAATTGGTTATAGAAAGAAGAGAACATCACATTAAGAATCTAAAGCCCTAAATGCATACCAAATTATCCCAGAAATTTAGTATGTGACCTTTGCTAAGAAAAACTCTGCCTGCCCCAACCAGCTCATAGGATTTTGTGAAATGTGATAAAATTGTGAAAGTACTCTGAACTGTAAGGAGCTAGTCAAATCTAACATATTATTATTACTTCATTTTTTTCTTGAAAAAGTGCTGACTTTTGTCAGTGAGCACCTTTTACTTATGTTGGTTTTAACCGACGTGTGAGTGTATTTAAGAATTTGAAATCTATTTTATGAATAGGCCTTAAAATGTCAAGGCTGGTCACAATGACTCATGCCTGTAATCCAAGCACTTTGGGAGGCCAAGGCAGGTGGATCACTTGAGGTCCGGAGTTCAAGACCAGCCTGGCCAATATGGTGAGATCCCATTTCTACTAAAACTACAAAAATTAGCCAGGTATGGTCACACACACTTGTAATCCCACTACTTGGGAGACTGAGGCATGAGAATCGCTTGAACTCAGGAGGTAGAGGTTGCAGTGAGACAAGATCATGCCGCTGCACTCCAACCTGAGCAATAGAGATCTTGTCTCAAAAAAAATAAAATAATAAAATAAAATAAATAAAAGTTAGGAAAGCTTGTCAACCAGCTTTCACACAAGTTATAATAGACTGATTTAGGATTATCAAAAATAATTGGTATGGTTTTCTTTCAATCAGTATAGTCCCACAGAAGTGGGAAACCCAGTGCTTCTGGTTGGAGTCAGTTTCTCAGTAGATGATGTGATAGTTACAGAATGACAGTTTTCAAAGAAGGCATACAGAGATTGGTCAAAATGCAGTTCCCACTTTTATATCTGAAAACAATAACCGAATCAGGATGAGAGGAAAAAATCACTGAATGAGGATGAGAGGAAATTCTTTTTTTTTTTTTTTTTTTTTTTTTTCATTTTATCCTGTGCATCTTCAGTGCAATCACCATCCTGTCAAGAAAAATCACCTATAGTGAGCTGTCTTTGGGTCATGTGTAGCAAAGTATAGGATGCTTTATAAAAGGAGGATCTTTACCCACAGTGCACATGCTAAATATGTCTTGTCCACTGTTAATGACAGCTACCAGGACTCCTTAATGTGGAATAGTTTATCTGGATAATATTTATAAATTCAAAGCATCCCAGACCAGGCTTTATTTCCTTGACCCAACAGATTCATTTGAAGTTTCCACTGAGTTGAAATGTTCAAAATGATAGACTGATCTGGTCCTAATATCTTGCTAGTATCCAAAATAAAAAAAAGAACTATTAAATATTTACAGAGTTAAGCCAGAGAAATATTATTCAGACCTAGTGTTCATGATCTGATCTGCACCAAAGTTAAGAATATTCCAAAGTAATTCAAGTGTCAGGAGCAGGATGAGATCAGGACTTGCAATGTTTAATTTGTTGTTCTTTCTTTAATTCATTTAGCTATCAAACAACTCTCTATTGAATTGCCCTGTTATATATAATAGAAAATAAATCTACTTGGGGAAAACATAATAAGAAAAAGATTAATTGAGGGCATTTCCCTTTAAAACTGTACCGCAGCAGACCTTACAGACCAGAACGGTTGATGGCCCTTCAGAGACCCAGTCGAGAACCACATTACCATGAGTCAATCTTGGGGTAGGGGCTTATGTATTAGAAGTGTCTCTTACAAGGCAAAGAAGCATAGCTGGAGTGAAACCTCTTGCTGAAGACTAAAGCTAGCACCTGAGTTCCCTGCTGGTTCTTGATCTGGTGTTCAGCTCTGTTACTTCAGATCTAAATTAGAAATACATGCAAAGAGATAAGTGAACTTTGAAACATGCCAGGAGGTATGAGACGGCAAGGTTGCTTTTGTTTGGTTAGGTTTATGATAAGTTTAGGTAGAATATGCACACTTGATCTCTTCTGAAAGCTTTCCTGAGGAGTCCATCAGTGTGACGGTGTACCTGCCGCAGCCTACACACAGCCACACCCCGCTATGGCAGTAGCTGAAGTAGGAAGCACTATCACCACCACTACCACATGCTGAGTTTTCCAAAATCTCTAACCCATTTCTCCAGTCTGCTTCCAATTCAGAGGGATTTGGCTAGAGAAGAAAGTATGTGCGGTTGTGTATGAGCCAGGCCGGCGGCGGGGGGTGGGGCGTGGATTTCTAAAAAGCAGCTATACATTTCTACTTGTTACTGATGATCACATCTCAGAGCAGTCAAAAGTCAGTTAATAACGTGTCACAGGGATACAGCTCTCCACTGGGCTATACTCACGTCTGCAGAAATAGCAATGCCATTTCATCCTCCATTGGCCAGACCCTAATCTCCATCTCTGAGGCGACAATGACCAGCCTGTACTCTTTTGCCAGAGCAGTAGAGGAGAGAGGGAAATGAGAAAATGGTGCTAATGACTTCGTGTATGTGCTTCTTCTTGTCTCTGTTTTCTGCAACAACATCAACATAGTTTTAGCCCAACGTGCCATTTAGACCGGAGTCTGGGATTGATCTGTGATGAATGCCCTGCCGGGTACACAGGACCACGCTGTGAGAGGTAAGCATGTACTACACTGTCTTGCAAAATGATTTCTACCTTGGGAGTTATAAAACCACAGATAGGGTCATCCTTTGCAACATCCTTTGGAGAAAAATGGCCACACTCAATGAGGTGAAATAAAGTTTCTCAACACAGTTGTCAAACAAACGCATTGTATTTTTGTAATGTATTTATTTTTCAGAAATTACTTCATACATCTTCATTCACTTGAAGAATATCTGATTAATGTTTTAATTTTAAAGGTTAAGTATTAACCCACAATCTTTGTAGAAAGTATTGCTCCATTGGAAAATCACACACTTTAAGATTTATCTTACTGTCTATGTAGGCACCATTTATTTTTCATAATTAGCTTTTGGTCCCTAAAGTGTAGCTTAAATCCATAGTTCCTAGTTCAGCCAGTGGTTCATAATTTACTTTAAATATATTTGAAAATACAAACAAAATGTAATTTATTATCATGATTTACATCCTCTTCTAATTACTCCTAAACCAGTATTTTAATTCCTGTTGATTTTACTAGGTTGCTTTGCAGTGTAAACAAGAGTATTATTTTGTGTAATTTGTGTGCTTATATTTCCTCCTGAAATGTTTTTGATGAAATAATACTATATATCCAATCTCAGCATAAAAATGATACAAACGTCCCCCTTGACATCATTGCCAAATGCAAAACCCTCCCTCTGGTTTCAGCACTGGCAATAGTTTCCACTGCTACCCTTCCTGGGAAGGAGGGGTGCAAAGGAAGTGACCTGTTTTCACTCATCGTCACTGAGGCTAACCCTGAAGAGGGCTATTTCTGCCCATCTTTTCCTGTCGTCTTGGCAGCTATCACCACAGTTTCAACCAGGATGCATAAAATTAATTAAGTAGAAGCCTATCACCCAGAGAGAATTTAGCTAGCAACTGGCAGTCTGTGAACAAAGTGCCAATGACAGTTCTAGCAGCAACAAGTACTATTTGTGAGTATGGAAGCATCTGTAAATTAGGAATGGAAGAAAAAAAGTGAAACAAGGAGGATTTATTTGTAATCAAGAAACTGGATATCTCTGTGTGTGTGTGTGTGTGTGTGTGTGTGTGTGTGTGTGTGTGTGTGTTTAAAGAAAGGCATGTACGTATTACATACTATGATGGGAGAGCATATCGTTGCCGAGACAGATTTACATCAAGTTCCTAAACCCCCCAGCTCACTACAGGCAACCCTTTTTTAGCAACTGGAAAATGACAGCTGCTCTGTCATACAAGGCTACTAAATCCACTTATCTAGGTGAGCATGCTCTCTGATGTGTTTATATTGCTTCGCCTTATGTACCATACTCTCTATACATGTTAGACAATAATTTCTGAACCATCCATAATTTAAAACCCTACATTTTATTTAGCAAACATCTGTTTAGCAACTGCCATGTGCTGGGTGCAGGGCTAGACACTGGATATAAATAGGTGCATTTTCTCATCCTTGCCCTCCGCATTTCACATCTTTCTTTAATGCAAGTAAGGATGGTTGCATGTATTCTTGAGAGAATTCTATTTGAATAGCAAAAATCACCAAGGAAAGAAAGACCTGACAGAAAGCATGATTTCCTGTCTAAAATCTGTATTAATCTGATTCAGAAAAGATGGCAACATGCATATGCAGTGAAGTGAATGACGTATCTTATATTCAGCTCGTTTTTTCACAATTGATACCATATTTTTCTAGCCAGAATTTAGATTAGGGTTTTCCAGGAATATTTAAGATTTAAATTTCATTGTATTTATGTGAACCAAAAGAACTCCTTAGATAGACCTAAAATATTAGGGAAACATTTCTGTTGTTGTTGTTGGTTTGAAACGTGCCTGTTGAAGCAGAAGAGAGGGAAGATAAGAGTTAGGTAGGGAGGAGATACTGGTTGCATTGAAAATCTTGTAATCAAAGCCATTCTGTAAGTGATTTGTATGATCAGCTTATGCACATCATCTAAATAAGACCAGAATTTAAAAACGAGAGCAACATTTCCCAAATTGTAGATGTTCCTGGAATAAAGAATTCTGTGATCACATAAGGTTTGGAAGCATCCATTTGCATGTTAAAAGTTCTGGCATGTCCTACAGTGTGTAATGAAGAAATCTGTTCAATTTGTCTAGCTCAGCATTTCCTAAACTTATGTGGTCATAAACCCTCTGCTTTAACTATATAGCAAGAATATATCTCAGACTATAGCTCAGGTGGGATAAGAGTTATAACTTTATCGTCTTTATCACAGTTTTATTTCTATTTTGAGACCCCTTTCTCTATATGTGGGACCTGGAGCGCTTAGAAACCTAATCTGAGCCCATTTAAAGTTGTTTTCTTCTCCTCTCTCCACCTCCAAGCTTGAATCAAAGCTCTATCAAACTTGCCTAGCACCAAAAAGCTTGCATGAATGGGTAGAGGGCAGGGTATAATGTCTGTGTGTATGTGTTGAGTAAGGGGATATGTGGTAGGGCCAGCCAGTGCTGAGTATTCCACCCAAGCACGTTTCTGCTGGCCTATTCCTGTTTCCCTGTCCTCCTAATTACCTTTCTCTTTAGGTCTAGAAAGTCTCTCTACTACTATCATTCCATTCTTGGGGGCACGGGGATCATTCAGCTTCTTTCATTCCACTCTAAGACCCACCAACATCTCTACCATCATCATTTCTCCATCTGCCTTTCCAATTCCATCCCACTTTCTATTTGGAAGAGGAGAAGCCAGATTCATGGAACTGGTGACTTTCAGAGCTCAGGGTCTGGAAGATTTCGATGTCTTTGCCTTCTGCCCTGGAAAATCCCTTCAGACATGTAGCACTAGATGGTCTTGCTTCTTGAATTGAGGGGGTGAAGAAAAACAGTGAACGGAAGAATGGCCAAACAATATACGACAGAACACGGACTGGTATTATGTAACAAATAGAACACTTGTTACAGCTTGTAAAACCTTCACTTAGGGTCAAAATACCACTATTTTTGAGGTATCACTACTTTGCTGGGGAATGTTTTAAACGAAGGAGAAAGCAGAGTCAGAGAGTGAGGAGAGAAGATATTTATTATGGCACCTTTTCTAAGATTCTAGACTTTTATCATCGGAACAAGAGGAGAAAAAAATAACAAAGAGACAGCATCTTGAAGGGCTAAAAGGGATGGAGTACGGATTGGAGCATCAAGATCGACTGAAAAGAATATTCAGCAAAAAAATGAATTAAGTGCTGAGGATACCTGCTTGATCAGACACTAAGTCACTTTCAGAATAGGTTTGTTAGCTCACCACCATGTCATACATTATGGAAAAGACATTTCAAAACAGCTGTGGCAAGTTTACCTTGTGGGTTCTGTGAAACCTAGTGCAATACATAGACTTCTTAAGCCCTCCCTTCTCCCCAGCTGGCAAATTTTTAACAACTCCTCCTTAGGTGAGGAGAGAGGGGTCAAAGGCTAGGACTAATTTCACAATTGCCAATGAAAATGTAGAAGGTATTTGAATCCAATTGCTTAATATTTTCAAAATTCCCCTACAGTTGTATCAAGATTCATATTAGATAAAAGAAATTCCTTTTTGTTACTTAAATTTCAGTTCCAAAATCACATTTAGATTTTGAGTGCTTTAAAACATCTGAATTCAAATCCAGTCAAATCACCCCTCTGATCACCATGCTGGAGAGACATTCCACTCACTTCTGAGTTTCCTCGTGCCTTTGGGTCCTGAATTCAGAGTCTGGGCTACAGAGGAGAGACAGTTATACCTGCTCGGTAGTACCGTTAGCAAAATTGAGACTCCAGCTGAGGTGTCAAGAGGCCACTTGTGTGGTGGTGCAGTTTGTACACTGCACACAGGCACTCAGGGAGGGGGAAGACTGAAGGCTTGAATGCAGTTTGCCCTCTTCTTTTCTACGTGTTGCCTGGGTTTCTGGCTGTATCCACTATCTCTTTACTTTTTCTGCATATATCTAGAGAGGACACTTTTTTTTCCAACTTGCAAAAGGCACCATATGAGCAGGCAAACACCCTCAGTCTTTTGCTGATTATGTTAAACGGAAGTAAGAACACAGCGTTGCAGCCCAGCCACGCTGCTTTATAATTCAGCCACCTTCTTCTGTGCCTTTGCCAATACTTTTCCCTCCGCCTGGAAGATTGCAGCCCTTTCACTCCTCCCCCTCAGGCTAACTAAACCCTGTTCAGCCTCCAAAATTCAGCACTATCATCCTGAAAGTGCCCTTGGATTAATCCGAATCGGCGTTGGTTGCCCTTTTCTGTGCGGCCGTAACAGCATTTGCATATCTCTAGTTGTTCCACTGCTACATTTAAAAATGTGTGTTCATTCTGCACGGACTGTAGAATAAAGACCGTACCTTGTTTATATTAGCACCCTGTAAAAGTGCTCAGCTGACTTTTTTTTAATGGGGTGGGGGGGAAACAAGAGCTTTTTGAATTTGCTTGGCCAGATTAAGCTAACATTATATTGTTTCGTTGTCTTCAGTGTGTAGATAATAGAAATGTAAGCCGCAATTTTAGCTAAAAATTGCTGGAAAAATGATGGGGTAGAATGAGATAAAAGTCTCATCAGTGTGGTGGCTTTCCTCTCATTGTTGCTTCTCTGCACTTCTGCTCTCATTCTCCCTCGCCCTCTCTCTCTTCCTGTCTCCCTCCTCGCCCCCAATATTGTTCCTAAATTATCAATAACAGCAAGTGTAACAAACAACTGCATGTGTTATCTGGAGTCTTATTTACATTTAAACAGTCCTTTTTCAAAATATTGCAACTTGATTTGAAAAGGTTAACAGAAGTGGAAAGGAACAATGGCTTTGTTAGGTCAAGATGTTCGTTTCTAGCAAGGCTGTCAATAAACTATTTTTTTTTTTAAATGCACTCATTCTGTCTTACATATGAAAATGAGAGGGCGTGGCATTTCACACTATAATTACTTCTGGTGGAGTGAAAATCCGAAGGACTGTGATTTGAACCAATTTTAATTAGGCGAACCCAACTTGATCAGACTATAACACACTATTTTTATTAATAAAAGTTATATGATTAGGAATATTGTATTCTCTGACCCTCGAATTGCTTTTTAATTCCTGACAGAACATCTTCAGAAATCTCTAATACTGTTCTCTGTATAAAAACACACACCCATACACCAATAATGTGCTGAAGTGTTGCAGAAAATAGTCCCACTGTCAAAAACATGGCATATGAATTTCTATCATGTATATTCACAAATTTTCCTTACATGTCCTGTAAGAAAAAAAAAAAGACAGATGCTTCTTTAGTTATTCTATTTAATTATAGTTATTTTCTCCCTGAAATGAGTTGTTTTTAATGGAGAATTTCAGTCATATTAATTGGTATTGAAGTTAAGAAAAATTCCCAGATCTCTATATAATGCCATCTCTCCGAAGGGCAATAAGTCATCTTGAGGAAAGTGAGCTGAAAATAATAGGTTTTCGTTTGTTGTGATAATGATCATTGTATATCCTTATTGCAGTGGAACAAAGTCATTCTCTTAGTGGTAAACAAAATGAGATGTGAATATATGTGGATGTAAGCATAAGCTCTGAATATTAAATAAGGCAAGAAGAATCAGGTTAAAATTCAAAAGGATCTTCTTATCTTTATCAAATACTACTCCTGAAGAAATTGTGGGGGAATTTTATGCACTCATATTTTATTACATATTTCATAATAGAGAATTAATGAACAATTATATTTGTGGTTGGCAGTATTCTTCCAAGCAATATTATTTACAACTCATAATTGTATAAAATATTTTGTGAATATGAGTAATTTCATTTTTAAAATTCTGAGAAAAGATCGAATCTACAAATTAGAGTACCTATACATTTTCTAAAAAACTTGAAATAGTCTAAGGATCTGCACCAAATAAATTAATGACTCTGCCTCATAATTGTGATATTGTTAAAGTGCTCTCAATATAATATACTAGATTTAAACCATTTCTGGTAGTAAAGAGCCTTTCTCTGAATGATGACTGCATGTCTGTGAGTAGATGAGCATGAAAGTGGTATACTACTGAGGAGATTATATTCTCTCACATTGTTTTTGATCCCCTTCAATTGTGATACTTGCTACAAAAGGCTTTGTCTTGATAAGATGGCAAAGATAACAGAGCTAGCCTGATCGTAAGATTCAGATGCTCTGTTCTGTTTCTCCTTTTGCAAGTGTGGCTTAGTATGAAGCATGAGCAAATGTTATTGAAAGAGAGGACAGAACAAAACATAAATAGGTGCTGCCTATTAAGGTTGTATCTGCATACCTGTAGCAATACATTGCATTTTCAAACATAACATTTGGGTCAGAGAAAATTTGCTGCTGTAATTTTTAAAAATCTTCTCTGCCATGCCCTATAAACAAACTTTTGTTTTTCCAATAATATGTGAATAGGTTTTAGGAAGGAAGGAAGGAAGGAAGGAAGGAGGAAAGAGAGAGACAGAGGAAGGAAGGGAGAGAGGGAGGAAGGGAGGAAGGTAAGGAAGATGGGAGGGAAGGAGGGAGGGAGGAGGGAGATGTAGACTTTACTAATAGAGTTGCAGGCACAGTTCAGCATCGCCTTATGGCATATTCCCATAATATGCAGGAATGCTTTCTCAGACTTCCTTTTAGTAAAGCCTTCAGTGAAAATCTGCCTCTGAATTCATATGCAAATATACACAAACAGATTATTAATTCAGATATACTGCAGCCCCCACCCAATTAGTAAGAATCTTCTGAGTCACAGTTTCTAGTTAATAAATTCTGAACTCTTATTACTGAATTTCCTTGCAAGTCTGTTTCCTCATAACAAGTTCTGGCTGCAACAACAACAAAAAATGTGAACTTTACATATTTGCAGAGAAAATAACCCATTGGAGTACAGACATGCAATGTGTTGTACTACAAAGGCTTTCCAACATGGACCTGGATTCCTCCGGAGTGCCAGCAGCAGATTCTTACTACGCTTTAGTCTCGTCTTCAGTGCCAATGACAAGATTTTTTTTTTTTCCGGGCTGAAATCTAATTACTAGTGGCTGGCAGGATTTCATCTTGTAACTACACTGCAGTGGTATAAAAACATTGTTTTAATCACCTTGCATTTGAGAAAAGGAACACTTAAAAGGAGAAGCCATCATTCTGGGAGAGGGGGAGAATAAAAAATTTGTAAACATTGTCCTGACTGAGATCTCCCCAAAGGCTCACTGATGAAATTTTTTGCCTTAGATGTGCAGAAGGCTATTTTGGACAACCCTCTGTACCTGGAGGATCATGTCAGCCATGCCAATGCAATGACAACCTTGACTTCTCCATCCCTGGCAGCTGTGACAGCTTGTCTGGCTCCTGTCTGATATGTAAGCCAGGTACAACAGGCCGGTACTGTGAGCTCTGTGCTGATGGATATTTTGGAGACGCAGTTGATGCAAAGAACTGTCAGCGTAAGTCCTGAACTATTGATGCCCCTGACAGAATTGATGTATTGTACTCAAAGTAGCTGATGAGCTCTTGAGCATGGATTGAAGAGTAGGAAGTTATATGGAATACATGGTTGATAGATGCAGACTATACAGAGTCTGCATATTCCAGAATATTTTCTTGTACTGATTATTAGAGTAGATCCTTTTAAAATTGCTGCATTATTGAATTGTCACTGTTTTCCAAATGATAAACATGTTTCTATTCACATGAGAAATGAAGATTTTTTTAATGAACTTATGTCCACAGCAGGAAAGAAGAATTTTGAAATTAGATAGACCCCATGTATCCTTTTTTGTGTATCTCAATTCTAATCACTTGCTTGAAATAATTTTTTCTGCCCATATTATTTCAGTAGTACCCATCAGAATATGTTAATCAGTTATGCTTTCATATGTTAACTTTACAGAGTCATATTTTGTAATAGGTGTAAAATTCTGCCAATATTATCACACACAGCATTAGTCACTGTTGAGTGATTACCTCATTTTAGTTTCATACTACTCATTTTAGGACTATTTCTAGAATGCTCTTTCAGTGTTTTCCTTCCACAAAATTAGCTACTTTAGGGCTTCATCCATATTAGTATAATACATTTCTCTCCTCATCTTCACCCTTTTAGCTGTATTAATATGCTATAGAATTTGTAAATCCTTAATGTCAGTGGGATTATAATATGAAGTGGAATCTTACTGCAGAAGGTCAAATGGAATGTGAATCCAGTGTTAGCACTTGGCCATAATCAGCTTCATCTACTATCAGAATCTTTAGGCAGAGTAGGTTATGAGACCAGCCTATCCATTCATTTCTTTCCAGTTTATGTGAGAGACTCTTCCAATTATTCAGTTGGGTCCCGGGAAATGCAGAATTATAGAAACTACTGGAAATGTAGCCTATCATCGACTGTACTATAAGCACCAAAGACCCAGTAGGGTACCCTATTTCATTACGAAATGTGTCTCTCTCTCATCACAGGTTTAGAAGATGAGTTCCAGCTTTTTGTCATTTAAAAATGATAATTTGTTGAATCAAAACCAAATCACTCTCTGGACCAACTTGCATCTATTAATATAACCTGTAAATTGATTGTTTTTTTAAAAGCAAAATTTTCAATGGCTCAAAGTGCCTTTAAACACTGGATTCTTGACAAATGTGTAAAATCATAGGGAGCTTGAGAAATACTTTCTTTCAGACAGATCATCTAGGGTCATGAATTTTCTGCGGGAATTAAAGGATTTGGCACATAGAGGGTATCCAGTGAGTTCCTGAGTCCTGGAGATGCTCACACATAGTAGCTGTCTTTGGTAGCAGTGCTCGTGGTAGCTGTGCATATCGGTTGTTCACCAGTGAATTCTAGGACAATGTTATGGCTTCTTCGAATATCAGTGTCTTCTTGCTCAAGATGGAATAATGGCGATGACGTTAATATTTTAACAGCATATGATAGGCCAGACATGGTGCTGAAGCCTTTACATGAATTATCTCTATAGTTTATAGAGTCGTCATAGGGATTAAATGGTAGAATGCCTAACGGGACACTCAACAAATCAGAAAACATTCTGCTACTGAATTTAGGTGTCCATATTACCATGTGGGGTATATTATTATTTAACAAGCCTATTCAGACTATTAGAAAGTTTTCCTGACACAGACCTCTCTTCTCTTTGCAGCCTGTCTCTGTAATGCCAATGGCTCTTTCTCTGAGATTTGCCACAGTCAAACTGGACAATGTGAGTGCAGAGCCAACGTGCAGGGTCAGAGATGTGACGAATGCAAGGTAAAGTAGAGGCTGACCGGTGAATTACTTCCTCTTTGCAAATTTTCATTGGCTTTTCGTGACATGTTTTGTATACCTTCGTAAATTGAAAGGAAGATTTGGGATTATCTAGCTCTGCAATTGAAATGAGTATGAAAGGGTTTTTTCTTTTCTTTTTTTTTTCTTTTTCTTTTTCTTTTTTTTTTTTTTTTAGACAAATTCCTGCTCTGTCTCCAGGCTGAAGTGCAGTAGTGTGATGTTGGCTTGCTGCAACCTCCGACTCCCGGGTTCCAGCGACTCTCCTGCCTCAGCCTCCTGAGTAGCTGGGACTATAGGCTCATGCTACCATGCCCAGCTAATTTTTTGCATTTTTAAATGGATCTGGTGTTTCACCATGTTGGCCAGGATGGTCTCAATCTCTTAAACTCGTGATCTGCCTGTCTCAGTCTCCCAAAGTGCTGGGATTACAGGTGTGAGCCACTGCTCCTGGCCCAGGGAAAGGGATTTTTTTTTTTCAAGCTAGAACAAAATTCATCGTACATTGCCATTTTACCTTACTTTTTGGGGGCAGTGACTGTGTATAATATTTACTTGAATTCAGATATTTCTGAAACAAATACCATGCAAATTTAATCTTAATCTGTGGAGATACACTTTCCTTTGCCTTTACATTTTTGGCAGAATAAAATGTTACTCCCTTTGTTTTTTAAGCATACACCTTCTTGTAGTTCCATCATTTAAAAGCTGCTTCCTGTGAATACCTACTTAACAGAAGTTTTCAGTAGAGAAGCTAATCAAGGTATTTTTCAAGGTGCATTATTTTGCTAAACTGAAATATTCAGTTAAAGCAGAGTATGTTGTTCTCAGTCCCTGAACATGCCAGTTGCCCTGCTTTCAGTACGGCAAGCAGCTTCAGATTCCTCCATGAGGGCGGACGGATTTGTTCTAGCTGTTTCACACAAATACATTGCATTCCTGATAAAGACAATTAAGCAGAAGCAAGCATTTCTCTGATGTCTAACTGGCCTTACTGTAGGAAGTTTGAAAATGTCATCTGCTTCTATCTCTTGAATAATATCATGTGCTCTGTTTTGTTTTCATTTTATTTTTTGTTTGGCTTTGAAAGCCCAATATGTGGCGGGACCCAGAGAAGCGACTCTGTGTGCTATGTGACTGTGATTCCACTGGCTCTGTGTCACCGCAATGTGATATTACAGGACGATGTGTCTGTAAATCAGGCTTCGTAGGGAAACAGTGCAACCTCAGCAGACAGGTGCACCAACGGGAGGAGCAGCCTCGGAGAGCGCAACGGGTGCTGGGTTCTCCCCAGAGGTGGGCTATCGGCGGCTCCGGCGGGTGCCCTCGGGGAGCCTATCGGGCCCCAGCTCCGGTAATCCCAGAGGCGCTGCATGGCTCATGCCTCCGCATGTTGTGTTCCGTGTGGTGACATTTTACCAAATAATAGCTGCTAAGTGTGCAAATCGCAAATGCAAAATTTAGACAATTCCTAATTGAACCCTTGCCCTTTTAAAAATAACTGTACATATGCTTTAAAAAAGCATACTCAAGTTCATAGGATCATAAAACATTCAATTAACCAAACTTTCAATTAACCATTACTATATAGAAATGAAATAAAAATCTACTTTTGAGAACCTACAATCTTAGAAATGGAAGGGACTTCAGACATCCTTCGGAGAAAGCTAAATTTTATAAATGAACAAATAAAGGAAAATCGAGCAAAGAAAGTGATTTGCCCAAGAAAACTCAGCCCATTTCTCTGGCATTTTATCATAATTAAGAATTTTGTTAATTTCCACATCAGTTGTGCTTATGTGTACAGCAAACACAAGAAACACATTTTCACACACAGCAAATGGACAAATACTCAAAATGGGGAAAGTTGTTTCTAATTACGGAAGTGTGGTCCTCATGTCACAGGACAAAACAAAACAAATTCTGGGGAAGAAGGAAGAGAGGGAAGGAGGGAAGAAGAGATCCCAGGCTGAACTGCAGAAGAGCAGGAAATAAGACTTGCCAGTATAGAGCCAGTACCTGTAGGGAGTTGAGGATAGGCCATAGAAGAAGGAGAGGGGAAATAAAAAGAAGACAGTGTGAAAAAAAAATTATAGCTTTATTTCTTGGTTCATTATCATACATTTTTTAAAAAACAAATTTTGATGTCAGACTGCCTTAGATCAAATCCTGGCCTCATTACTTCCTAGCTATAGATTCCTTGAATCTTTCTGTAATTCAGCTTCTTCATCTGTAGTAAGATCCACTTCAGAGGGTTTATGTCTGCTTACATACCCCAAGAAGCAAATGCCAAGAGATTTCCTGGGGGAAAAGCCAATGAAGCATGAAACGGGAGGGAGAGAGCATAGCCTTCTGCTGAAATGGGTTTCTGACTCCCAGGAAAACACAGACAGAAAGACTGGGTAGAGAAAGCCTTATTTGGTGCATTTTGTCAAATCCTAAATTCTTGGCCAAGCCGGTGGAATGTACCCAAGGAAATTTTACCCATAAAAGGAATCCTGAATTGGGCAGGAAAGCTCTAGCATCTTATTGTAATCAGCCTGAGAGAAGGATGATCTTGTGGAAGTTCCTCTTAGTTTATTCAGGGTGCTATAAGAACGTAGCATAGACTAAGTGGCATGTAAACAATGGAAATTCATTTCTCACAATTCTGGAGGCTGGGAAGTCCAAGATCTAGACACACACAGATTTCCTGTCTGGTGAGAGCTCACTTTCTCTAGACAGTCATTTACCCACTGGAACTTCACATGGTGGAAGAACCTCTCTGGGGACTCTTTTATGAAGTGCAGTAATCCCATTTATGAGAGTTCCATCCTCATGACCCAATCACCTCCCAAAGGCCCCACCTCCTGTCTATGCCACCACCTTGAGGGTTAAGATTTCTACATATGAATTTGGGGGGACATAGATATTCAGTCCATTGCAGAGCACCTCTGGTGGGTCCAAAAGACAAGAAACTGAAGGTTTTCAGTCAGTAAAAGTCTGTGCTGCGGGCTGATGGTTTGAGCCACCTCCAAGACTGTCTCAGGGTAGCAGTGAGAACAGTGCATCGGGCAGGAGCCTGGAGAGTTTTAGTAAAGAGTTAGGCATGAGTACTATTATTATTAATACTAGTGTTGTTAAATGAAGAAATCTTTAAAATATTTTTTTTTTCAAAAACAAATGCTTACATTTACAATAAAAGAAAGGGATAATAACTGATTAAAATGTCTCCAGAATGTAAATTTAGCAGAAAATCCACATTCATTCAAGCCCTACATATCTTACAGTACTATTGTATGAAGCAGTGTTTTGTCCTGAGACTATTTCTTCCTCCACGGCAGTATGTATGAGAGTTAAGAGCTCGGAGTTGGAAGCCAACCCAGCTGACCTGGAATCGCGACTCCAAAATTGGTTAGCTCATGACCTTGGGCAACTTACTTAAACTTTCTGTGCCTTAGTTTCATCACTCAATAAAAAAGTGGTGATAATGACAACTGTCTGCCAGGGTTGTCCTGAGGAATAAATGAGCACATATTTGCAAAGGGTTTAGATTTGTAAAGCGTTCAGAATCATGCTTTGCAAAAAGGAAGCACAGTATGTGAATGCTAGTTTTTACTACCTAGAGAGAGACACATTTATGGGAACCCATCCAGTTTCCCACTGGGTCTGGACAGGCACCCTCTCCCATATTTATTTTACCTCATTAATCCAATTCCTGACTATGAATATCTGCACCTTAAGTTTGTTTACTAGTGGGGATTTCTTTAGCTTTCGAAATAAATTTTTGAACATTAAATGTATAAACAGTTTGTTACCGATATTTGGTAGTATTTATTTTGCTACAAATTAGCCTGTAAAGCTACATTATTTAAATATTTGAAAAGTGAGGTAGAGCCATTTCTTCTTGTATATTTCCTTACACAATTGACTTTAGAATGTTTAAAATGATAGCTATAATTTGGAATTTCATTTGGTATTTGATTGACTTAAAGGGGTGTACAGACACCCCTTTAATGGGCATGTCAATATGAGTGTGTCAGATATAGATATAGATATGTATATGTGTGTATATATGAGTGCATATGTCAGTATATATATATATATATATATATATATATATATGAGTGAACACAATTTCTGAAATCAAGATAAAGTATTATTTCTATGATTCAGATATTTTTCATTACTGTTTTAATATATTGTTTAGTCTTTTTTGCCTATGCATTTCTGTTTCCGTTTGTGTGTCTGAGTGGTATGTGTGTCATTATGGGTATGTAATTGAAATTTACATGGTATTTATATAGTTTTGTATTGTTTTTTAAATTTCCATTTCATGCTATATTCTAAGCATATTTATATCATTAAAACTGCTTCACAACAGGATTTTAATTCTCACATATTTCATAATGTGAATGTCATAATTTAATTTATTCAACAATTTTTCTAACATTGAACGTTGAAGTGCCTGCATAGTTATTCACCATGATAAATAATATTGTAATGGGCATGCTTTTGCTTTAACAATTGTTCCAATTTCTGATTATTTCTCTAAGTCAGGTATCTAAAATTTTACATAAATTTCATTTTACCATTACTAATATTTTATGGTTAGTATTTTTATATAGGTGAATTTAGTTTCAAAATCATGTCATCTGTTGGAACTGTTACATGCTTTATTCTTTAGTCATCTACTGCAATCTGAATTAGGACTAGAAATAAAAATAAAGCCAACAGTAAATATAAGGATGAGAATGATTGTCAAACTGAGTCAACCCATCTTACATTCTAAAAATAAAACGATTCTTAGCTACAGTCATTTAAAAAGTCTAATTTGCAGTGTGATTTCACTTTTAGAACTTATTTTTAAAACTACTAACAATAATATCTAAAATATATAATGAGGCTTATTCATTTCTCTTCAGGTGGCTCACATTAAGTGGCAAAATTTTTTTTTTAACCAAGAAGCAATTATTAAGTCTAATTTTCCAAATAGGAATTATTTTTACAAAGAAGTAATTACTGAGACTAATTTTCCAGATTAAAAAATCATAATAATGTGACATGCTTTATATTTTTTTAAAATAACCCTGACAGTATTGTAACCTGGATAGATGTTTTTCGTTTTTCTGCTAGGAGTGATTTTTTAATCCATTAGCACTTTCTAACACTGTCATTTTAGGCCTGATGAAGTGCATTTCCAGAAAGTCAGCCAAAGCTGATAATGCAAACTTGACCATCAAAGATGATTTGTTATAGATAGATAAGAGATATGCATATGAATAACTCATCAGAGAATAAAAGTTTCCTTTGCTTACCTGATACGGTGCTTTAATATATGTTCTCACTAACCAATTTCAATTGCTAGAATGAAACCCAAGACACCAAATGCTTGTTGAACCAATTATTTGTTCAGTGTAAGCATAGCCTGAAAACTGTATTTATTATGTGAACAAGATAGTAATGATTAAAAAGATTTTTGGATATGTGACAAAATTACATCAAACATTAGGGCAAAAAGTTATTTAAACTTTACACTGCCAGTCAATAATGTTGAAATTATTTTTACCAAGTAGGAGTTATAAGATCAGAAAATAATTCAGGTTAATCAGAATGAAGCAAGTAAAATTTTTAATTAAGACTAGAAATACCACCTATAGGTCCTTTCCGTATTGCTATTAGAACCTTGAAAAGTACTGGGAAAGGCTGGTGAAAAGACAACAGTAAAAGAAGCGCCTAATTCTGCCATTAATTTTGATGAAATTTCAGAATAATGGAAGTTTTCTCTTTGGATATCATAGAAAAGGTCCCTTTGATTAAATGAAGACCCAATTGTCGTAACATCAGTGAAAAATAGTGATAACTTTTAAGTCCCTCTTTTCCCACCTGATCTTTGGTATCATGCATCTTGTTTCACTTTGAGTTAATGGATTTAAATTTAATTTTTCTCTCCTCTTCTATTGCCAGCCTGGAACCTTTGGCCTACAATTAGCAAGGGTTGTGTTCCCTGCAACTGCAATTCTTTTGGGTCTAAGTCATTCGACTGTGAAGAGAATGGACAATGTTGGTGCCAACCTGGAGTCACAGGGAAGAAATGTGACCGCTGTACCCACGGCTATTTCAACTTCCAAGAAGGAGGCTGTACAGGTCTGTAAGTGAGACTTAAGTCCTACATTTTCACTCTGGTAGTTTTAGTGTCTGACTTCTGTAACGGTTTGTTCTTTTCAAGAAGTGCTCATTGATAACAAATATATGATACAACATATTTAAAATAATGTGTAACTACTTATTTTACATTACTTAACAAGTGAAATACATGGCAGTTTAAAACACTGCCTTATAAATAACCATGTGCAAGTACTCAATAAAAATCAGCAGATGCTAATTTGGTTGTGTCCCTCCCTGTCTATGACTTTCATTTGGCCAGTCACTCAAAGCCTGCTACAGCTTGAAAGATAAATGTTCAGTTTTTCTGGTACCAATCTTATCTTAATTTAATCTCTACCTGCCTCCCCCACGCCAGTGCATCTCAACTTTCCCTTTTTTCTATTGCAAAATTTGTATAAGGATCAGGAAGTCAAGATTTTGTTGTTGTTGTTGTTTTTTACCGGTATCCCCAAAACATGTTTTGATCTACTTTTGGCTGCCTTGAAAATTGTGATGTTCTGAGAGAGAAACAGATTGGCTCTGAATATTTAGTTCATCAAAAAATGCAGGCAGAAGTCTCTAACCATGATTCCCTCAAGCAGTGTGCTTATACATCCGGCCACAGGCTTCACCCAAATCATGAGCTAAGAAAATATCACTTAGCATGCTGCAGATGAAAGTGAAGATTGAACATTAGCCTTGATTTATATGCCACTAATTTTGAGTTGACCCCTATTCCAACAATCACTACGTTAAGTATCATCTTTGCTTACTAACCTCATTGATTCATCCTGGTTGATACTTACATAGTCACACTGCTATGGGAAGATTTTTAAAACATTATTATTCACTGTCTTGACAAATTTATGTAAGAAGCAGTAGGAATAATATTTAAAACTATTTAAAGAACCAATATCTTTCAGACATTCTCCAGCACTTTAGATATGTGGTTTTTACCATAAATTAAGCCATGATAAGTTATTCTAATTGTTATGATTGTAGATCCTCTAAGAATCTATATATCTCTTAGCCAATATCTATATATTCTTAAAAATTATGAAGCTATATTTTAAAATATACCCTGTTCTTTAAATCCAAAGCTCACTGACATTTTTACTTAATATGAATTAATGAGGTAGTATTATACATTTAAATACATATACTAACAAAGTTATAAATGAGTTAAGAATATTATTTTAAGTTATAGAATGATGACATCATTTAAGAAATGCAGAGCTACTAGCCTTCTAACCCAAAGAAACACCATAGAAAAAAAAAAAGGCGCTAACCAGGCAGGATAGTAATATGGCTGAGGGTATGACTTGTGCAGAACAGCTGGGAAGTGTCTAATGGCTCCCTCAGTAACTAGTTTTGGGACCTTGACTGAGTGATTTTGTTTCACTTTCCATCTGCAAAATTCATCTGAAATTAGATATTAATAATATCTACCACACACAGTTTTTGTTACAATTAGTTGAGTTAGTGGCTATAAAATATTTAGAGTAATGCCTAGCATGTCAGTGCTATGGAAGCATTTATCACTATTATTATTATCTTTATTAGTTTTATTAACTGTGGTATACACTGTGCTTTGGCACAGGATAACTAGCTAATTACTCAGGTCTTCTTTCTATTTAGTGTTATGATTCCACTGAAGAATTGTTCAAGAGAATTTCTGTTTGCAAGTGATGTGGACTGTCCCATGACATTTTTTAGCATGTAAATTTAAACACAATGGTAACTATTTTTCTTCTTAATGAATGACACATCTAAAATAAATCATTTGGCTTAAGATTAGCAACAACAGTAATAAGGAAAACAACAATAACTAACATTTATTTAGTGTTTACTCTGTGTAAAGTGTTTCTCTAAACATCTTTCACAGCTGGTATGTAATGCTGTGAACAATGTCATGAAAAGTGAATTTAGTCAAATATTCTAAATATATTCAGTGGAAATGATTCAGTCATCATATAACTGATTAAAAGTTTACTTGTAACATTAGTTTTCCATTTGAATTCAAGTATTTGGGTTTCTTCTGTCACTTACATTTCTTTGATATGAAATGCTGCACAAAAATATTCTTAGTAGCTGGGTCAACTATCGCTATGTGGCATACATTCCTTGTCTTGGATGGCTTTGAAGATCTTCTCAAACATTATTTTTGCAGTCTTTGAAGAAGGACAAAAGGTAGATAATTCTGTACTCTTTGAATGTTGCATGATAGCAACAAAAATAAAAAATCTATAGAAAAAGTCAGGTGGTAAATGAAAATCAAAAGTATCTTTATATGTAAACACTGTAATTCGACTATTGTAAAGTATTTGCAAAATTGCAATATCCTGACGTGTGCTTTTCTAGCTATATTCATGATGTACTGAATTTAAGAAGCTTATTAAGCTTATTGTTTTTACTGCAGATCAGGCTCATCGACAACAAAAAAAAAACTAATCGACACAGAACAGACAAATTAGAAATAAACTTAAAGATACAAACAAAATAGTAAACTTTATAGGACCTGGATATAAGGTATTACAGTTATTGAGGAATCTGATAACAACAGTTCTTTCCTTTCCTCAACTTCATAGGGAAGCTAAAAATACTTTAACTTTTGAAATTATTAAATGAAATACATCATATATTTTTTGAACAGCTCCTTAGTGAAATGCATTGTACTATGATATAAAAGATGAATGAGGTGAGTTTTTACTTCCAACTAAACTTAAGTATAGAAGTGAAAAGAAAATAAGACAAACCATCACAATATAAAACTCAACACTTTATATAACATTTTTTACTGTTTTTTTCCCCTTGTTTGTTTTTCCTCTTTCACCTGTGAAGCTTGTGAGTGTGCTCATCTGGGGAATAACTGTGACCCAAAGACTGGGCGATGCATTTGCCCTCCCAATACCATCGGAGAGAAATGTTCTAAATGTGCACCCAATACCTGGGGCCACAGCATTACCACTGGTTGTAAGGTGAGTGAATCACTTTTTTGCGCTGATAAGTTTTTGGAGAGATTTTTGTTTTGTAGCGATCGATAATTGGGCATTTCAAAATTCAATACTTTATTACAAAATAATATAGAACTGTTACTATGATGTGATTTCAGATACCAATCAGTAGCTCACATTTTACTTGTAGGAAAGATGATAAAGTAAGTACACATTTATGCAGCTGAATCTATGCAATCTACAATAAAAGAGGGGTACAAAAAAACAAAAAAATTCTATAATAATACCAGAAAAGAGCTGTAACCTCATACCTAGACACAAGGAAATACATCTGCAAAGTATGAGGGAATTGAAAAATGAATTAATTTTTCAAAAATCCATAGAAATTGCCCCTTAAGCCTGCGTGTGGTGACTCATGCCTATAATCCCAGCACTCTGGAAGGCTGAAGCAGGCAGATCACAAGGTCAATAGATCAAGACCATCCTGGTCGACATGATGAAACCCCATCTCTAAAAAAATAAAAAAATTAGCTGGGACTGGTGACGTGCACCTGTAGTCCTAGCTACTCAGGAGGCTGAAGCGGGAGAATCGCTCAAACTCGGGTGGTGGAGATTGCAGTGAACTGAGGTTGCACCACTCAACTCCAACCTGGCACAGAGTGAGACGCTGTCTCAAAAAAAAAAAAAAAAAGAAAGAAAGAAAGAAAAGAAAAGAAATTGCCCATCAATTATTACTAGGTTTCTGGTTTCAGGAAGTAGCTGAGATCATTCTAAAGAGTCATTCTAACAACATTTAGCTTGGAAAAATTATTTTTTCCCATTGGTACACCATAGAAAGTGACATGGCCAGAGTCGTGTCCGGAGAAATCTATCTGACATCAGCAGGAAAGGCAACAATTTATAAGGCTGTTGAAGAACGATTCATGACAGATGCCAGAAGCCTGGACCCAGGTAATGAGCATCAATGAAGATATTTAGAGAGGGCGAGTTATGTTTTAGAACTCAAGCTGATACAGCCTGATGAACACATTGATTTGGGGAATCAGAAAGAGAAAGCTTAAGGATGACTCCAAGGTTTTGCTTTGCAATGGGGTAGATGATGTTAAGTACCCTTGACAACTATGGGAATTATAGGAGGAGAAGCAAGTTCAGGAAGGAAAGATGATGACTTTGGATTTTTATCAGCTTTTTGTGAGGTATTAAAATTTACCCACTTAAAGTAATGAATTTTAACCAATGATTACAGTGGTGTAATCATCCCTTGTGCCCCTTGGTAGTCAACTCCCCCTCACCTTCCATGCAACTACTGTTTTGCCTTCTAGCATAGTAATTTTGCAATTTCGACAACTTCACAAAAATAGAATCATAGTCTGTTTTTTTGTCGTGGGGGGGGATTGTTTGTTTCTTTGTTTGGCTTCCTTCACTTGGTGTTATATGTTTGTGATTCATTCATATTGTTGCATATATCAGCAAGAATATAATAATATTCCAGTTGTATAGTGTACAGTGACTTGCTTACCATTTTAGGGGCATTTGGGTCATTTCCAGTTTGGGGTTATAATTTTGCTATGAACATTAGCATACAAGTCAAAAGCATGTTTACAGGCAAATGTTTTCTCTTCTTCTCATAAGAAAATTCCACATCTATGCCAACTCTTGAAATTTTAACCCTTTTTTAATTTTAGGAATTCTGCTGCATGTGTATTTTTATCGTTTGCATTTATTTAATGCCCAGTCATGTTGGGAATCATTTTATTTATTTGCCATTTGTACATCTTCGTTTGTGTTGTGTTTACAAAGCTTATGCCCATTTCTATTTTGAGTTGTTTGTTTTCTTAGCAATGCATTGCAAGAATTCTTTATATATTCGGGATACAAGTTCTTTAACATATTCATATAGATTGCTTTTTACTTAGTTTCATCACTTAATTTTTATAAATGTTAGCTTATTATCTTTTGCTCTTATACGCCCTACTTTCTATGCTCTACCCAAGAAAGACAAGGTCCAAAGATTTCTCTCCCATGTTTTCTTCAAGAAGCTTTATAGTTTTAGCTCTTAAATGTAGATTTGTATTCCATTTTAAATATTAATTTTTCTATATATCAGGTAATGGTCAATGAATTATTTTGGCTCCTTTGTCCAAATCTATCAACTATGCATGTGTTCATACATTTCTAGATTCTTTTCTGTTTCACTGATCTATTCTTATGTTAATACTAGCTAATACAGTAATTATTGTAGCTTTCCAGCAAGTCATAAAATCAAGTATTGTAAACTCTCCAACTTCATGTATTGTTTTCAATGCCTTTTGAGTACTTTAGCACTTTTACGTTTCCCCATAACTTTCAAATTTAGCATGTCAGTTATTTACCAAAAAGCATGCTAGGATTTGGCTGAAATTATATTGAATCGATAGATCAATTTGGGAAAATTTGATCCTTAAAAATATTAGTATTCCAATGTATGAACATGGACTAACTCTACACTTATTTAGGCCTTTATAATCTTTTCTCAGATATGTTTTGTAGTTTTTGATATGTAAGCCTTGCATATATATTGTTAAATTGATCAGTGTTTCATGTTTTTGATCAAAAGCAAATGCTACTGTGCTCCATTTCGGTTTTGAATTCCTTATTACTAGAATAGAAAAATACAATTATTTTTATACATTAACTATCTCTACTGTAATCTTGCTAAACTTATTAGATCTAGTTACTTTTTGGTACATTTACTGGAATTTTCTTGTAGATAATCATGTCATCTGCAAATAGAGATTTACTTCCTTTCCAATCTGTATAACTTCTGTGGCATTTTCTTGTCCTATTGTAGTAAACTATTGACTAGAAGTGGTGGGAGCAAATATCCTTGCCTTGTTCCTTATGTTACGTGTAAAGCATTGTCTTTTACAATTGAAAATGATATTGGCCATATTTTACTTATAGGTGCTATTTATTGGTTTGAGGATGCTCCCTCATGTTTTTAGTTTGCTAAGAGCTTTTATTAAGAATATATGTTCAATTTTGTTAAGTGACTTTTCTGCATCTATTCAGATGACCATATGATATTTCTTTTTAAGCTGTTAATATGGCAGATTATACTGATTGATTTTCAAAATATCAATCCAGTCTTGCAAGCCTCAGCTTAATCCTGCTTGGCCATGGGGATTATCCTTTTAAAATTATGTTGGATCCTGTTTGCTAGCATTTTGTTAATGACTTTGATTTTGGATCTATGTTTATAAGGAATATTGGTATGCACTTATTTTTCTTGTAGTATTGTTGTCGGGATGTTGGTATTAAGGTACTGCTAGCCTCATGAAATGGATTCAGAAGTATTCCATCATCATAATTTCTAAAAGAGTTTGCACAATCAATGAAGTAGAAAACAGAAATACTTTAGAGGAACCCAAAAGGTGGTTCTTTGAAAAGATCAGTAAGTTGATAATATTCTAGAAAGGTTGATCAGGATAAAAGAAGAAACAAGTAATCAAAATTATAAATAAAAAGTGGACATCACTATAGATCCTATAGACATTAAAATAATAATATGGTAATCATAGGAAAAACTTTTGCCTAATAGATTTAACAACTTGTGTGAAAAGAACATTCCTTCTTTTTGCTTACTTTAATTTTCTCTTGTGTTCTAAGTTCCTTAAGGTGAAACATTAAATCATTGATTTGTAATCCTTTTTCTCTACTAATGCTGGATTTTACGTTACATTTTTTTTCTAGGAACTACTCTGTTTGCACTCCACATATTTTTATATGTTATGTTTTAATTTTCACTTGTTTTAATATAATCTTTATCTTTGGTTAATTATTTACAAATATAATGTTTAGTTTCTAAATATTTGGGGAATTTTCAAGGTATCTTTACTCTTACTAGTATCTAGTTTAATTCTAAATTGGACTGATAACATAATTCGTATTATTTCAGACCTTTTCAAAATTACTGAGATTTGTTTTATGGCCCAGAATAGTGTTTGGTTTGTTTATTATTACATGTACACTTGAAAATAATGTGTATTCTGGAGTTGTTGGATGAAAACTTCTATATAGGTCAATTATCCTTAAAGAGTTTTATATCTACATTTTCTTTCAATTACTGAGAGTGTTAAACTATAACTTTCTTTCTTCTTTCACCTCTCTCAGATTTTATTCATGTATTCTTGAGCAATGATGTTAGGTGCATGCACATTTAAGATTGCTATGTCTTTTTGAAAAGTTGATGCCTTTTGACATTGTGAACTGTCCCTCTTTATTCCAGCTAATATTCCTTGTTCAGAAGTGCCCTTTTTCTGATATATATATATATAGCTATTCCAACTTTCTTTTTAATGGTGTTTGTGTGTGTGTGTGTGTGTGTGTGTGTGTGTGTGTGTGTGTGTGGTTTTTTTTTTTATACTATCATCTATTTCATCTCTTTTTAAAATATTTTAATGTGTGCTTTTTTCTGGAGACAGGGTCTCATTCCATTGCCAGGCTGGAGTGCAGTAGTATGATCTCAGCTCACTGCAACCTCCACCTTCAAGCAATCGTCTCACCTCAGCCTCCAGAGTAGCTGGGACTATAGGTCCATGCCAACATGCTTGGCTAATTTTTAAATTTTTTGTAGAAATGAGGTCTCACTATATTGCCCATGCTGGTCTCAAATTCCTGTGCTTAAGTGATCCTTCTGCAAAGTTCTGGGATTACAGGTGTATACCATCACACCCAGCTTAATGTCTGAGTGAGTGTGTGAGTGTGTATGTCTGTGTATGTGTGTGTGTATATGTGTGTGTGTGTGTGTGTGTGTGTGTGTGTGTTTAAATAACATATACTTAGATCTTTATTTTTCATCCAATCTTAATACTTTGGCCGTTTAATTGGAGGATTTAAATCATTTCCATTTAATGTAAATATCAGTATGACTGGATTAAGTCTACCCTTTGCTATTTGCTTTAGCTTGCCTTACCTGCTCTTGCCTTCTCCTTTTTTTTTTTTCTTCTTGTCCTGCCTTCTTTTGGATTGAGCAATTTGTATAA